TTGGGGTGCTTCAGGGAATCGGGGAGCAGAGTTGAGTCTGGGATGAACAGCCATGCCCTGTGATCTTGGGGCTCCTATTGATCATAATCATTTCCTTTCCCAGGGTCTCCCGGGACCCCCTGCACGGCTGGTAAGGGCTTAGCTGGGTGTGGTCCTCTATCCTGTCCCTCACCTGCCCCTGTTGGCGCCACGTGGTATCCCTTCATCCCTTCCACTGCTCCCTGTTCCCCTCATGGCCTCCTGATAGCTCCATTGACCCCATAGACCCTCACTGGCCCCAATTCTCCTTGTTGAACCATTCACTGACTATCCCCCCTCCCCCCCCACAGGTAGACATGGGAGTTGGAGCTGGAGAGAAGGTATCAGGGTCTGTGGGTGGAGTGAAGCTCTGAGCACAGGGAAGCCCCCTGGTGCCTCCATGATGGGCATGCCTGCAGCCCTAGGGCCGTTCCTTCAACCAGCTTGTCTCTGCCACAGGGAGAGCCGGGGGACCGTGGACAGGAGGGTCCTCGAGGACCCAAGGGTGACCCAGGCCCCCCTGGAGCTGCTGGGGAGAGGGTGAGTGTGGTTGGTCCCATGAGGAGGTGTGGGTCTGGGAAAGCCTGGTCTGATTTCTTCCTTCCCCTATCCTCAGGGCATCAGTGGACTCCGGGGGCCCCCAGGCCCTCAGGTGAGTGATACTCTTTGCCCCAGCAACCTCAGTCCTCCTCTTACCCTCACCTCTTATCTGACCTTGTTCCCTCCAGGGGGACCCAGGTGTCCGAGGCCCAACAGGAGAAAAGGTGAGAGGGCATGGAGGTTTTTAGCCGCGAGCCAGGCTCTTAGGTCCATCTTATCCTTTGAGGCCTCTTACTTCTCTATTTTCCTCAGGGTGACCGGGGTTCACCTGGCCTGGATGGCCGCAGCGGGCTGGATGGTAAACCAGGAGCCCCTGGCCCCCCTGGGCTGCATGTGAGTCATGATGGTCATGGTCTGGTCACACCTTTCCCTTTCCTCTTCATATGACCCCAGCCTCACCTGGGTCTTCTTTGTCTTGATGAACTCGGGAGCTAGGTGGGGTATCTGTGTCTTCTCCTAGAACCTTCCTGGGTGGGGGATGTTAGTGCCTTGCAGGCCTGAGTTCACAGGAACTAGTGGTGTTGTTGGTGGGTGGTGCTCCTGACCCCGTGATCACTGCAGACTCCCTGACTTTGAGTCTCTCCTCAGGGTGCTGCAGGCAAAGCTGGAGACCCAGGGAGAGACGTAAGTGAGGGGAGATCTGGTTTTGTTTTGTTTTGTTTTAACATTTATTCATTTTTGAGAGTGAGAGAGACAGAGCATGAGAAGGGGAGGGGCAGAGAGAGAGGGAGACACAGAATCAGAAGCAGGCTTCAGGCTCCGAGCTGTCAGCACAGGGCCCGATGCCAGGCTTGAACTCACGGACTGTGAGATCATGACCTGAGCTGAAGTCGGACGCTCAACCGACTGAGCCACCCAGGCACCCCAGTGAGGGGAGATCTTAGGCCGGAGGGTGGCTCAGGTCCAGCATAAATTGCCCGGGGTCATCATTTCACAGTACCACTGGGAATAGGAGCAGTTGGTCCAGCCCTGTCCTTGGGAGGGGTCTCAGTCCCTGGCAGGCAGGTTTTAGCAGGGTCCAGCTTTCTGACCTTCTTGGCCTCGCCTTGGGGGCCTTATTAGGTCCCCCAAGTCCTGTAGGTTATTCCCTTGGGAGTTTTAGTAGGGGTGGGGGCCCTAACCAATGGAGTCTCTGCCTCAGGGGATTTCAGTGAAACCGCCAAATTTTGGGGGTCTCTACACTCAAGGAGGATCTTAATGGGGTCCTCCCCAGTCCATGGGTGTGCTCCAGGGGCTCTCAGTGGCTCTTTCAACCCTAGCAAAGACTTTTTCCAGGGGCTTCCAGGCCTCCGAGGAGAACACGGACCCCCTGGCCCGTCTGGCCCCCCTGGAGCCCAGGTGAGACTGAGTTTTCATGGTACCCATTTTTTTAAAGTTTATTTACATATGTATGTATATACGTATGTACGTATGTATGTATATAATCTCTACACCCAATGTGGGGCTCGAACTCATGATCCTGAGATCAAGAGCCTCACGCTCTACAAACTGAGCCAGCCAGGCCCCCCTCATGGTACCCTTTTGCCCCGTTACTGCCCTCACCCGATCCCTGACTTAATGTTCTGTTCCCACAGGGAAAGCCAGGAGAAGATGGCAAGCCTGGCCTGAATGGGAAAAATGTGAGTTTCTAGAGCAGACACAGGGACACCTACTGAGAAATGTCAGCACGTGTACCCAGACCAGATATGTAGCTGCACATGGGACACACAGGCAGACACTTGCTGAGGTGTGTCAACACCCATGTACCTAGCCCAGACCTACATACAGATACATACTGAAATTCACGTCACGTGCACATCAGGCAGCCTCGCAGTGAGTTATGTGGGCATGCTGATTTGTGCCCAGATGGACTGACACCTGCTAGAATAACCCACAGCCACGGGATCAGGTGAAGAGCCACAGACACAGATTGAGAGGGGCAGACATACTCGCATGAAGCCACATTGACGGATACTTGGAGACTTGTTGACACAGACACTTCCACCCAGACCAGATATGTGCTAAGACGTGGGACCAGGGCCACATGTGGACCTGTGCTGAAACATAATGAGACACACATCCAAGGCTCTGGCATATGACACGTGCATTCATATCCACAGTCACTCATCTACATATGGCCACACATGTTGACTTGTACACAGATATTGAGACATAGAGACAATTCTCAAGGCACCAGAGACATGTAGACACATGTCCGCCCTGTGTATACATATACATGCCCATATGTAGATATGAGTCACAATGTGCAGACCGACAGACACCTACTAAGTGCCACCTATGAGGACATAAGGCCCATGCATGGATACACATGCTAACACACACACACACACACACACACACACACACACACACACACGCATAGATGTGGTATTACATCTAGAAAGCCAGAGATAGAGAACATGTGCAGTTACATGTAGAAGTGAGCAGAACCACACAGGCATGCCCTCAGATGTATAAAGGCTCATTCAGATGGTCATAGGCCGTGCTCCAAGACACAGAGGCTTGGAGTCATAGACACAGACATACAATCATCTGAGACCAGCCAAGCCAGTGTCTTGCAGCCAGACACCAGTGAATTTTGGGGCTGATGTGAATCTTGTGCCCACAGGGGGAACCTGGGGACCCTGGAGAAGATGGAAGGAAGGTAAGACCCCTCGCTTGGAGTCTGTTCTGCCCTCAGAATAGGGCCCTATCTAAAGTACCCTTGTCCTCCACAGGGAGAGAAGGGAGATTCGGGCACCCCTGGGAGAGAAGTGAGTGCTGGAGCCTTCTGCAACCTGACCCATGACCCTGTGATATCTGTGATATATGGTTCCACTCTTTTCTGGGGCCTCAGGGTCCTGATCCTGGCTGCATCCCCCACAGGGTCACGAAGGTCCCAAGGGTGAGCGTGGAGCTCCTGGTAGCCCTGGACTCCAGGGTCCCCCAGGCCTCCCTGGGCAGGTGGGCCCTTCTGGCCAGGTGAGAATCCAGGAGGGTCGTTCTAGGACTTGGGAGCGTCGGGGGCCATTATGTTCCCACTGGATACCATCCTGGGATACCATGATCCTATGTGACCTCTTTGTGTTCTATCATATCTCAGGGTTTTCCTGGGGTTCCGGGAAACACAGGCCCCAAGGTGAGTGTGCATGTGGTGGGTAGGGGGTACGGTGAGGGGCTAGTAGGGTTGAGGAATTTCCCCCCACCTCTCTTTGTGATCACTCTTTGTTCTCAGGGTGACCGTGGGGAGAGTGGACCCAAAGGGGAACAGGTGAGGTCCCCACCTTTCTCACATGCCCAGGTAGCCATAGCTCGCACATGGTGCATGCACACTTCCCCCAGAAACTGGGTCCAGCAACTTGTCTCTTGGTGTCTCCAGGGCCTTCCGGGAGAACGTGGCCTGAGAGGAGAACCTGGGAGCGTGGGGGTGAGTGAAGCTTAGGACCCGGTCCTCGACTCTTATTTGCATGCCTAAAGGAGCCACCTCTATCCTCTTCCCCTTGCCCTGTGGCCCCATGGGTTCTGTCCTGTGTGTTCAGTCTCCTGTCCTATTGGGATTCCCGTAGTCTACACTGGGGGGACCAGGCAATGGGGGCATGCCAGGGAGGGGCTTCCAGGGCCTTGAGCCACCTCAACCAGCGCTAAAGTGTCCTGTGGGCAAGAGGCCTGGAGAAGAGAGTATGGAAGCTGTTTCTGGGAGCAGCGTGGGGCTTCTCTGAGGGTAGCCCCTCACCCAGCTTGTGTCCCCAGAATGTGGAGCGGTTGCTGGAAACGATTGGCATCAAGGTAGGTTGTTTGGGGGCTGGGAGTGGGGGTGGATGGAGGCCCCAGGGGGCAAGGAGTGCCCACATGGCCTGGCGAGGGCCTGGGTGGCTGCAAGAACGGTCCCTGTTTCCCCAACCCCTTGTTATCACTCAGACATCTGCCCTGCGAGAGATCGTGGAGACCTGGGATGAGAGCTCCGGCAGCTTCCTGCCCTTGCCTGACCGGCGCCGTGGTCCTAAGGGGGACCCAGGCGAGCGGGGCCCCCCAGGCAAGGAGGTGAGTGTCGATCACTCAGTGGGGATGTCCTGTGGACGGTGTCACCCACCTCTAGCAACATTCACTCTTCTGTTCCTCCAGGGACCCATTGGCTTTTCTGGAGAACGTGGGCTGAAGGGAGATCGTGGAGACCCTGGCCCTCAGGGGCCACCAGGCCTGGCCCTTGGGGAAAGGGGCCCCCCTGGACCTCCCGGCCTTGCTGGGGAGCCTGGAAAGCCTGGTATTCCTGGGCTCCCAGGCCGGGCTGGGGACGCAGGGGAGGCAGGAAGGCCAGGAGAGAGGGTGAGCTGGGCTAGCCATGAAGGCTGGGGATGTGGGGCCAGGAGGGGCTGGGCTCTCCGTGGACATGGCCCCCACCCTGCTATTTGCACCTTAGGGAGAACGAGGAGAGAAAGGAGAACGTGGGGAACAGGTGAGCTGAGAGAGGCTACAGGGGGCGGGACTTCCTGGGTGTTGTGCTGGGGAAGCCACACCGTTTCCTTCTTCTCCACAGGGCAGAGATGGCCCTCCTGGCCTCCCTGGACCTCCCGGCCCTCCTGGCCCCAAGGTGATCAGCCAGCCCTGCCCTGGGCCTGTGACTGTTGTTACCAGGAGGGCACCATTAACTTAGGCCCCAGAAACTCCATATGGTGTCTCTAACCCATAATCCTGTGGGATCCTTTAATCTGGGGTGACCCCTCCATGCCTCTGTGATAGACACATTTCTCTCCTATGACCTGGTATTTGTAGGTGGCTGTGGATGAGCTAGGTCCTGGACTCTCTGGAGTGCAAGGACCCCCTGGACTCAAAGGCACTAAGGTCAGTGTGTGCGATCAACAGGGGGGCCACTCCCTGCCATGGCACCAGGGTCCAGCTTGACATGTCATCCCTACAGGGGGATCCAGGCAGTGATGGCGACCGAGGCCCCAAGGGAGACAGGGTGAGGCCTGCTAACCCACCATGCTTCCCTCTCCTTTAGGGGGGCACGTGAGCAGTGGTGTGTCTATGGGCACATAGCAATGACTGGGGGCTTAGGACATGCCGTTCTGCTTGCAGGGTGTGCCAGGCATCAAGGGAGACCGGGGAGAGCCTGGACAGAGGGGTCTTGATGGCAGCCCGGTGAGTCTGTGCCACAGGTCACCCATGTGCCTGCACAGGGCTCTTACAGTGTTGTCTGGACTGGAGTCTGCACTGCCTGGGACTGTCTGGGGCGGCTGGGATGTGGGAACAAAGAGGATCCATGTGGTCTTAAACCTGTTCTCTTCAGGGTCTACCAGGAGAGCGTGGTGTGGCTGGGCCTGAAGGGAAGCCGGTAAGTGGTGGCAGGAACATCCTGGCCCAGGCTCCTGGGAACAGCTGCCCTCTGCTGGGAGCTGGCTGCTCTGTGCACATGTCACCAGTGACAAGGATGTTGTGCCTGCGTGCCAGGGTGTGAGTGCAGGTGTGTGTGTGTGTGTGTGTGTGTGTGTGTGTGTGTGTGGTGTGGTGTGTAGGCCAGGATGTGTTATCCCTGAGGGTATGGGGTGATCTATGCCTGAGGGGTGGCAGCCTGCATGTGGGCTCCCTAGACAGAGGCCTCTGCAGGTTGGAAATAGGCCCACATGAGGCCCGGATTGAGGCTCAGCAGCCCCCCTTCTCTATCCAGGGTTTGCAAGGTCCAAGGGGGACCCCTGGCCCAGTGGTGAGTATCAGAATCCTCACCCCTCCTGCCCCCATCCTGTCCCATGCCACAAGGGTCAGTACTGCCTTAGTTTCTCTGGTGAGGTGGGACTGGCTCCGCCTCACCAGACTCCTTCTCTCTCCAACAGGGTGGCCACGGAGACCCTGGACCTCCTGGTGCCCCGGTGAGTAACAGGAGAGCACTGCCTGGTGGGGGTGGGATGGGCACTAATCCCCACTGGTGAGCCAGGCCTTGTTTGTGTTAATCCCCGAGCCCCGGCAGATGACTCTGACTCCCGTCCCCTGATCTTGATACTTTTTTCTAGGGCCTTGCTGGCTCCACAGGACCCCAGGGTCCTTCTGGCCTGAAGGTGAGTATAGGTGTGTGCAGGCATGTGGCTAAAAGGCAGAGGAGGCTCCTCTGAGCCATGTCCACACCAGGATAGCCCCTGCCACCCCCCTGGGTTGTCATCACCCTGCGATGGGGCTAAGCACCAAGGTGCCCCATCCATGTGGACTTTTCTTATGGGCAGAGGGCTGAGGAGCCTCTTGTCTTTTTGTGGGGTCACAAGGTCTCTGGGTTTTTGGCAGGGGGAGCCTGGAGAGACAGGACCACCAGGACGGGTGAGTGGCCCAGCTCAGGGGTTAGAGTCACAGGGAGCCACGTGGGATTGGAGCTGCCCTGAACTGTTTCTTCCCCCAGGGCCTGCCCGGACCCACCGGGGCTGTGGGACTTCCTGGCCCTCCTGGCCCTTCAGGCCTCGTGGTAAGTGAGGTCCCTGCAGGGACACCGTGTCCTGCCCCCTGGGTCCCACGTTCCCCCATGTTCCCCTCACATCTGACTTGTCTCCTTCAGGGTCCTCAAGGGGCACCGGGTCTGCCTGGACAAGTGGTGAGTCCTGGGGGTCAAGACTGAACTCCAGGGGGTCAGGAGTCAGTGGGCAGGCCCATGACAGAGCTCCTTCCTTTCAGGGGGAGACAGGGAAGCCGGGAGCCCCAGGTCGTGATGGTGCCAGTGGCAAAGATGGAGACAGAGGAGCTCCTGGTGTGCCGGTGTGTATTCTGGGAGAGCTTTCTCCAAGCCTGTGATGGGGCCGTGTGCCCGGTCCTGGGCCTAGAGAGTAGGGAGAGCAGCGGCAGCAGGCCCAGGGTGGTGGGGAGGCACTGAGTCCTTCCCATTGCCCTGTCACAGGGGTCGCCAGGTCTGCCCGGCCCTGTTGGACCTAAAGGAGAGCCTGGACCCATGGGGGCTCCTGGACAGGTGATCCTGACCCTGACCCCGACCCTCTGTACCAGCTCCTCTGCCTCACCATCCAGGCCGGCGGGGTGGGGCTGGGGAGAAGGTGGGGGGACTAGGTAACTCACTGGGCATTCCCCACAGGCTGTGGTCGGGCCCCCTGGAGCAAAGGGAGAGAAGGTGAGTGTGCAGAAGGCCTGGGGGGAGGGACTGAGGGGGGCCAGGGCATCCCACTGACCCTTCTCCCTCATCAGGGAGCCCCCGGAGGCCTTGCTGGAGACCTGGTGGGAGAGCCGGTGAGTGTGGAGCCTCCGACAGCATAGTTCACCCATCTTCATGACTCTGGGCTTTCATAATACGTGTTACATTGGACCCTGCACCTCCTTCCTTGGGTGTCATCTTTCTGTGCCCCTAATGCCCATGTTGCTTCCTGTCCCCTGTCTCTACAGGGAGCCAAAGGTGATCGAGGACTGCCAGGGCCTCGGGGCGAGAAGGTGAGGCAGACCCAGCCCAAGGGCCTAAGCATTGTGTAGAGGGGGGCCAGGCTGGGTGGCTAGATCCCCTTACTACCCTTTCTGTGCAGGGTGAAGCTGGCCGTGCAGGGGAGCCTGGAGACCCTGGGGAAGATGTGAGTCTGGGGTCTGGGCAAGTCAGCTGGGAGTGAGGAGTGCAGGTGTGGACATGAGGGACCATTCCCAGGCCTGTGCACCCTCCAGCATTCAGGATCCTGCTCCAGGGAGTACACAGGGATCCAGCCTCTTGGCTTCCTCACTCCTGGGTGGGAGCGGGGGTGTGTCTTTGCTTCCTTGTGCCTATCCTAGGTCTTCTGCTCCTCACTGTGTCTGAGCACACATGTGTGTGTCCCTGTCTGATGCTCTAGGTCTCCTGTTAATGTACCCCTTTCCCCTGCCACCTCTGCGTTCCATGTATCTGAATGCATGCTTGTGGGCCTGTCTTAGCTCCCCAGGATGGGGTGACATTTGTGTGCTCCTGGGAGCTCCTGTGTGTCTGTGCTCACACCGGAGGTCCCTATGCCTGTGCTTCTGTGTGGGCTCCCCGTGTCTGTAGCCACACCTAAACTCCCACATATCTGTGGTCACCTCTGGGCTCCTGTGAGCCAATCCTTGCTTACGTGTCTGAGTTCCACATGTGAGCTACCCTGGGAATATTCTTGGGCCGTGTCTAAGCTCTGGGTTCATGTTCCTCCCGTCTCAAGTACTGTTTACTTTGCTTTTTTAGGGTCAAAAAGGGGCTCCTGGACTCAAGGGTAATAAGGTATGTGTACCCTAAAGCATCCCTGCTGGGGGTCATATTCCTGGGACTCAGAGAGCTGATCTGACCCCTCTTTCCCTTGAAGGGTGACCCAGGAATCGGGGTCCAGGGCCCCCTTGGGCCAGCTGGTCCTCCAGGTCTGAAGGTTAGTCGATGCCCCATCACCAGTGGTATGCAGCAGGCAGGGAGGTGCCTGGAAGTGGGAAGAAGGCATTCTGGGCCTGGTTCTGGGAAGGAGTCCTGTTGGGGCCATTCCTCCCTTTGCTATCTCTGTTCCAGGGAGATGCGGGCCCCCCTGGGCCCCCTGGTGCTCCTGGTGTTGTCGGATTCCCCGGTCAGACAGGCCTTCGTGGAGAGATGGGTCAGCCAGGCCCCAGTGGAGAGCGGGTAAGCGTGCTGGGAGCAGCATGCAGGGACTTGGTGACTTCAGGACTTCTGAATTTGGTAGTGGGTGAGGAGAAGGGGGCCCAGGCCCTGCCTCAGGGGCTCCAGTCTTGGAGGGGCCATAGGGGAGGAAGGTCTCCAAGTCATTCTCTGCCTCTTTTGCTTTATTGTTCCCGTAGGGTCTGGCAGGTCTCCCGGGGAGAGAGGGAGCCCCAGGTCCCTTGGGGCCACCTGGACCACCAGGGTCAGCGGTGAGTAGAAGTGCTCTCTGTCCCGGGTATCTGATTCCTGTGTGTTGGAGTCTGTCCAGGTGGGAACTGGGACACACTGTGTGGCTGGGTATGTGTATGTGCTTTTGAGGGCATGGGACACTCACCTTACTCTGCCCACAGGGAGTGCCCGGGCCCTCTGGACTCAAAGGAGACAAGGTAGATGGGACAATGCTGCTGGCTCTCCTGTATCCATCACTCCCTCCACCCTCCACTGACCTCCCTTGACCCTCTGTCCCCCACTGATTCCCCTCTCATATCCCTGGTGTCCTGTTGATCTCCAGGGAGACCCTGGAGCAGGGCTGCCCGGGGCCCGAGGCGAGCGTGGGGAACCTGGTGTCCGGGTATGTACTTCCTGCTCTGCAGCCATGGCTCCCTTTACCACAGCTCTTGCCTCTCATTTCCAACTTCTGAGTCAATGAACTCAATGTCACCATCCAGGGTGAAGATGGCCGTCCCGGCCAGGAGGGACCCCGAGGACTCACGGTGGGTCCTCTTGGGGAAAGCACCAGTGATGTGACTTCAGTCCCCTGCCTGTGCCCTCTGTGCTGTTGGGACACACTCTGTAGACTTCTGGTTCTTTTTATGTACTCTCTGGTCCTTCATGTCTCCCATTCCCCTTGGACCCCTTGGTCGTCCCCTACCCCCTGAGTGGTCTCCCCGCTAATGCCCCCAAGTTTATTTAGCTCACTGTTGTCTTCTCATACAGGGGCCCCCAGGCAGCCGGGGGGAACGTGGGGAGAAGGTAAGGACATGGGGAAAAGGCCCCAGGGTGGGTGGGGGTGGAGCCAGATCTTGTAATTCAGGACTTGGGACTCCTCAGTTTGGAGAGATTCACACTCTTCCACCCAATAGGGTGACACTGGAACTACAGGGCTAAAGGGTGACAAGGTGAGTATGGGCATGCGGGAGGGCAGAGGCAGGGGCTAAGTGTGGTCCTGCGTCCTCTGATTGCCCTCTGTCCACTCAGGGTGATGCAGCCATGGCTGTGGGGCCTCCAGGGCCACGGGGTGCCAAAGGGGACATGGTGAGTAGGTCTGGCTCATGTACAGAGTGGGTCTATCTTGGGTGTGGGAGGAGCTCCCGTGGGGGCTGGGCCAGGGAATCTGAGAGCTCAAACCCTCAGATGGTGAGAGACCACCAGCCCCTGACCCTCACTTCTGACCCCTGACCCAGGGCGAACGAGGGCCTCGGGGCATAGATGGTGACAAAGGACCTCGAGGAGACACTGGGAACCCTGGAGAGAAGGTACAGAGAAGAGGGTGGGGTACTCTATATAGGGTCAGGAGAGGGTTACTGTGGGCTGTGGGGGCTCTATTGAGGGTCTGTGAGGAAAAAAGGGGAAGATGGGGGCTTTCTGGGGGTTAGAAGGAGGGGGTTCAGCAGGCTGTGGCAACTCTGTGGAGTGGCTGAGAGGATGAGGGCTCTACAGTGGGCTCGAGGACCTCCATGTGAGGTCGCCAGGGAGCTCTGTGGAATGTAGCTCGAAGAGAGGCCCTCTGGGAACTGACAAGGGGCTTCTTGGGTGTCAGGAGTACTCCAGGTTAGTTCAGGAGCCCCATGGTAGGAAGAAGGGGCAGGGATCTGAGGGCCTGGGATGAGAAATGAGCCACACTGAGGGTGATGGGTGGGAGCGAGCGCTGCCCCACCTGGCAGGTTCCAGTCATACTTCAAGCCTCCAGCCTGGTGTGGTCCTGATTATGTCCCTCTCCTGGTTACACCCACAGGGCACCAAGGGAGAGCCTGGTGACAAGGGCTCAACCGGGTTGCTGGGAGCTCGTGGACTCACAGGACCCAAGGTCAGCCCTGCCCCAGGCACAGACCCCAAACCACCCATCACACACATCTGTCTCATGGGTGTCCTCTGAACGTTGGAGGGTTTCCAGCCTCCCTCACTGCTGGCCACGTGGCCATGTGATTACATGGGATTTGTGTGCAGTCTGGGAGTCACTGAGTGGCACGGGGGACAGTTACACTGAAAGGTGGCCCTCCCCCATCTGTGTTTCCTACAGGGTGAACCTGGTGCTGCAGGGATCCCAGGTGACCCGGTAAGATGCCCCTGCTCCCTCAGAGACCCCCTGCCCCACAGGGCCCCATCTCCCTATGGTGGCCTTTGACCTTATAGTGATCCAGTGGTCTCATGGTGTCCTCATGCTGCCCAGTGCCCCCACCTTCACAGTAACTGCTATGATGTCTCCACCCGCATGGTGACCTCTGCCCATGGAAAATCCTGCCCTTCCATTGGCTCTGGCCTCCAATAGTGACTCTCACCCCTGTGGTGTTTCCTGTTCCTTTCATCCAGAGTGATTCCCCTGGATCCCTCCTGACCTCCCTTGACTCCATATTGACCCCTCTCTCTACCAGGGATCACCAGGAAAGGATGGAACCCCTGGTATCCGAGGCGACAAAGGAGATATTGGCTTCATGGGTCCCCGGGGCCTCAAGGTGGGAAGGGGCTGGGCTTTTTTCCTGGTCAGGAAGGCCTGATGTTGGAGGGCGAGGTATCTGGGGTCAAAGGTCAGGTGTCTGGGGTCAGATGTTGGGGTATATGGGATTGAATGTGGGGCATTAGATTAGGGGTTGGAAGGTCAGAGATTAGAGTGTCTGAGGCCAGTTTGGAGAGTGGTTACATGGTCTGGTCAAGGGGTTAGGTGTCTGGAAGTCACTTTTCCATTTCTTTCTCCCCCCCCTCCCAGGGTGAACGAGGGATAAAGGGGGCCTGTGGCCTTGACGGAGAGAAGGGAGATAAGGTACAGAGGTGATGGGAACATGGGCGTCTGTGGGGCCTGGGGCCTGTCTGACCCTTCTACCTGATTGATCCCTGCAGGGAGAAGCTGGTCCCCCTGGCCGCCCTGGGCTGGCAGGACGCAAGGGAGATGTGGTGAGTGTGGGGCACCCAGAATGGGGAGAGGATGGGTGGGCCAAGGCCCAGCTCATGTTTTCTCTTCTCCAGGGGGAGCCGGGTATGCCGGGCCAGTCGGGGACCCCTGGAAAGGAGGGCCTGATTGGTCCCAAGGTATGGGCCCTCTCGACAGTGGACAAAAGGGGGTCAAAATGGGGCAGGGAAGGTCATGGTAGGGTCATGGGGGTTTCATGTCAAGAGGGTTGTAGAAAGTTGGGACACTGAGGGGTAGAGTAGGGTTGCTTTTGAGGTTTCAGGGCGAGTTGGGGTCACAGTGGGGACTTTGGATTAAGGGATGAGAAGAGGAGCAGTGGGGAGAGGTGCGTCAGGGCTAAGAGGTCAGTAGGGGAGGCTGGTGTGTGTATATAAAGGAAATAGGTGGAAGCAGGGCAAGGGGTATTACAGTCAGGTCAGGGTCGTGAGGATCACAGCAGATTGAAGGTCCTGGGATGGTAGGGTCACAGGTGCTTGGGTCATGGAAGATTGTGGCCATTGGACCAAGGGGCTCATGGCAGTTGAACTGAGGACATCAAAACAGATGGTCTCTCATGCTTCTTTCTGTTCCCAGGGTGATCGAGGCTTTGATGGGCAGCCAGGATCCAAGGGTGACCAGGGTGAGAAAGGGGAGCGGGTAAGTGGAGACCAAGGTCAAGCTAAAGGGACTGTACTTTCTGGAAGTGGGTCCATCTTTGGGGACTTTGATCACTGACTCTGACCTGTCTCTCCACAGGGGCCCCCAGGAATTGGGGGCTTCCCAGGTCCCAGGGGCAATGATGGCTCTAGTGGCCCCCCTGGGCCACCTGGCAGTGTTGGTCCCAAAGGCCCTGAAGGACTTCAGGGCCAGAAGGTAAACAGCTCTGACCCTGACTCCTGATCCCTGAACCTCCCTGACCCTTCCAATATCACTGACCTCTGACCCTGCAACCCATCGCCAATACCCCTGAGCCTATGATCTCAACTTTCCTTCCTTCTGACCTCCACTGACTCTGACTGCTCACTCATCCTTGTGTCTGACAGGGTGAGCGAGGTCCCCCTGGAGAGAGAGTGGTGGGTGCCCCTGGGGCCCCTGGGGCCCCTGGAGAGAGAGGGGAGCAGGTAAGTGGGGATTCCTGGGGTTGGGGTCAGAGACTGGGGTGACCTCTGGTGTCCCTAAGATCAGAGGTCACAGTCTGGTCCCATCTGTTGCACACAGGGGCGGCCAGGGCCCGCTGGCCCCCGCGGGGAAAAGGGAGAAGCTGCGTTAACAGTAAGTGTAGGCCTTCGTGGGCTGGGCCCCTGACTCAGTGCTGTCCCCCTGTGATCCCTGCATCATATGCCCTTTGTCCCTCCCGTGATCCCTGGGTTCTTCATGATCCTTGTGGTCTTGTGCTCCCAGGAGGATGACATTCGGGGCTTTGTGCGTCAGGAGATGAGTCAGCATTGTGGTGAGTGGGGCCCAGCCCAGAGCCTCTTGGGTCTCATTCCCATTCTACTCCAGTACCCCTAAACAGGGGCAGGTGGGGTCCCCAGAACTTATGGGGGACCAGCAGTCACAGATGGGTGGAGATGGATAGATACACAGGAGGGCATGTATGCTCAGGACAGACATACTATGAGGACTTTCCCCAAACGGTGACACGCAGCAAGTGTGGGTGGACACACAGTGTTCCTAGAAGCCCAGTGTGGCCGTGTGTGGAGGGGTGGAGGCGGGAGCAGCCCAGTGGGGCTCTGATGGCCCTGAGGGGTATCAGAGAGTGAAGCTCCGTCTCCTCCTGTCTCTGCTTCCGTTCCCTCTCCATGCCTGTTTCTGACGCTCCCTCTCTTGCCCTTTGTTGGCCTGTTCCCAACTTCTCTTTCGTCCTTTGTCTGTTTCTCCTCTGCCTTTCTTCCTCTTTCTTCCTTCCTCTTTCTCTGCTTCCCACCCTCTCTCTCTTTCTGTCCCGTCGGTCTCTCTGTCACTCTCTCCTGCTGTCTTTCTCTGCCCCGCTGTGTGTGTCCCTCTGTCTCTCTTTCTCTGCCCCTTTCCATCGTTGTCTCTTTCTCTCTGTTCTTTTCTCTCTCCCTGCCCTTCTCTGCCCCCTCCAGCCTGCCAGGGCCAGTTTATTGCATCTGGATCACGTGAGTAGTTTTCTGGTATTTTCTGCTCCTGGGACTTTCCTCATGCCAGGTCCCACTGTGTCCATTACCTGGGTTTGCTCAGCAGGGACTTGGCTGGGGTGGCTGCCATCATGACCCCAAGGCCCTGTGCCCCTGCTCCTTGCTCCAGGACCCCTCCCTAGTTATGCTGCAGACACTGCCAGCCCCCAGCTCCACCCTGTGCCTGTGCTCCGGGTCTCTCATGCAGAGGAGGAAGGTGAGGACAGGGGAACCATGGGGCATGTGTGGTGGGGCACAGACACATGCGGGGTTGCTCATGCATGCAGGGCACATGCCACGTGTATAGGGGCGACATGGAGGGCACAGCATGAACACTGGGCACACACGTGGGAGACCAGCGCTACCCGCCCCACTCCCAGGGCCGGGGTTGGGCAGCATGAACATGGCCCAGCAGCAGCCTCACTCATAGCACCCCACCCTGTGTGCAGGCGAGGTGCCCCCAGAGGACGATGAATATGAATATTCTGAGTATTCTGTGGAGGAATACCAGGACCCTGAAGTTCTTCAGGATGGCGATGGTGAGAAGGGGGGTTGGCCCAGAGGGACTCAGGGAGGGACAGTAGTGACCCCTGCTGACCTCTCACTGACCCTCAGTCCCTGACTGCCGCCACCCCTGCTGACCTCCTGACCCCCGTTGGCCCTAGACCCCTGCTTGCTTCCACTGGATGAGGGCTCCTGCACTGCCTACACCCTGCGCTGGTACCATCGAGCTGTGGCAGGTGGCACAGATGCCTGTCACCCCTTTGTCTATGGCGGCTGTGGAGGGAATGCGAATCGTTTTGGGACCCGTGAGGCCTGTGAGCGCCGCTGCATGCCCCGCATGGTCCAGAGCCAGGGAACAGGTATGGGCCTACCCCTCCGCCCCGAGAGGGACCTGGACACTGAGCCTACCCAGATCAGGTCTTGGTCGGGGTCCCACGTCAGGACCCCCCTCAGACTGGGAGGCCTGGGACAGACCTCCCCAGACCAAGTTGCTGAACAGAGGACCCTAGCTGTGGAGTCCCCTCCATGCTCCCTCCTCAAGGGTCTGAGTGAGGATCCCCTCTCTGAGGTCAGAACCTCACTCTTGTGCTCCCAGCTGCCCCACTGACGATCTGCGCACTGCCTCTCTGTGGCCTACATGCTGGGTGAGGCCAGATGCCTGAAGTCAGCTCCCAACCTGTTCCACCCAGGTGCTGCCCGAAGCTGAGGCCCAGATGATGAGCTGAAGTCCAGCATCCCCTGGTGGACTCCTGTCCCTCCCCTTGGTGCTACAGGCCTGAGTGCATGTGAGCGTGCATGAGCGTGTCCGTTATTTCAGTGACTTGGTCCCGTGGGTCTAGCCTTCCCCCCTGTGGACAAACCCCCATTGTGGCTCCTGCCTCCCTGGTAGATGACTCAGTGTGGGGGTGGCTGTGGGCAGTGAGCGGATGTGACTGCATCTGACCCGCCCCTTGACCCAAGCCTGTGATGACATGGTGCTGATTCTGGGGGGCATTAAAGCTGCTGTTTTAAAAGGCCCCTGTTGTGACTGTTTGGGGAGATGGGGATGGCAGGGGGTCCGGTTTTCCCTGGGAGGTCAGTGCTCTCCTGCACGGGTGCAGAGTCCCTCTGTCCAGCCCTGGTCACTGTTCTGTGACTCTCAGTGTCCAACTTGTCCCCAAAAAGGAGTAGACAGAGTGGAGGCTGAGGACACGTCCTCACTGCCCCCCAGGAGGGGATGAGTCAGAGGTGGGGGGCTGCTTCATGCCGGAGCCGTGCCCAGCTCCTACCTCAGGGGCGAGAGATAAATGGGCCCAGAAGGGGGCAGAGGCCCGACCACAGCACAGCACCGCCTGGTCCCAGCCGCAGGCAGCCCCAGCGGCCCCACCTTGCTCCAGAAGAGGCTGCGGCTGGTAGGACTGGGATGGCTCTGGGTGGGATGGGCAGGGCCTTGGGGGCTGAGTCGATCCGGGTATGGGTTATTGGAGGTCTCCGGACGTGGAGTCTCTGGCTGCTTCTCTACCTTGACGACCCCATTCCTGCCCTTCTTTGTCCACGATCTGCTGCAAGCTCCCTCAGACCCGAGGCTCCCCTTTTGTCCCTCTGTGTTCTCTCCATGCCTTGGTGTCCTTATTTTCATCATGCTGTCTGTCTCTGGGGTGGCTCCAGCCTCTTTGTCTTCCAGTCTCCCTCTTTTGCTCTGCCTCCATGTCCTCCCTCTCGTCTTTTTCCCTCTTCTCCCTCCCCTCCCCAACTGTATCCATCTCTACATCTAGATCCAGACCTAGCTGTGCTCTCTGTCTCTTTCACTCTCCTTCTTGCTCTCTCCGTCTCCCTGGCCCCTGCTCTGTCTGGCTGTCTTGTGCTTTCATCTCTGTCTCTCTTATCTCCGTCCCATGCCTGGCCTCTCTAATCTCTACCTCTCTGTCTCCTTCCCTTGGTCTCCCTCTCTCTGTCTGTCTACTTTCCCCGTCTGCATCTGTCCATGGGCCACGGCTGCCCAGAACCCCTGCCCTGAGCCTCTTTTCTCCTCGCAGCCTGACCACGCGATGACCAGGTGGGCTCTGCTGGTGCTGATGATCCTGACGTCGGGCAGGGCCCTGCTTGTCCCCATGACCCCTATTCCAGCCTTCCAGCTCCTCCCTCAGAACCCTCCCCAAGCCACTCCCCGCCCTGTGGCCTCAGAGAGCCCCTCAGCCAGCACCGTGGGCCCCTCCACTGCTTGGGGCCACCCCAGCCCTGGCCCCCGCCCAGGCCCCCGCATCACTCTCTCACTGGATGTCCCCATTGGCCTCCTGCGGATCTTACTGGAGCAAGCCCGAGCCAGAGCTGTGAGGGAGCAGGCCGCTGCCAACGCTCGCATCCTGGCCCATGTTGGCCGCCGCTGAGCCTGAGGGCAGGGGTCACCCTGAATTAGGAGACCTGGAAGGCAGCAGCAGAGCAGGACGCACTACATCTGGGCACAGTGCGCCTGGCCACAGCCCCGTGCAGTCACTGCCATGTGGTGTCATATCACAGCTGAGTGCCTCACAGAGCCACAGTTTGTTTGGACAGCCCGGACATTGCCATATCGGGTGACTGCCAAATGGAGTCTTGCCATACCTGGAGCCCCACAGACTTACAATATGTCTGGACAGCTTGGACACTACTGTGGAATGTGACTACCGTGTGGAGTCTTGCCATGTCTGGGTGCCCCACAGTCAAAGAGCAAGAATCTGGACACTGCTAATGTGGCCACTCTTGTGCCAGTTTTAGGAACCTCAACATAGGAGCCCAGTATTGCATCTCAGACCCATCCACCTAAGACCAGACCTGCAGGTCTTCCCTGACCCCAACAGGTCACCACACAGGGGAGTGCAGGCTGAGGGTCACATGCATGTTTTGTGCTTCATGAGGCAGCACCCACCCCAGAAGAATGGGGCCGTCACAGGCATCTCCAGGCATGGGTGACCGTACGTGGAAAGTCTGTGGTTGTGACAGCCTTGCCTTGTGCTAGGTGTACGTGTGATCAGTGGGTGCATCTCTGCTGTGGGTGTGTGGGGGTGAGGGGAGGGTATGCGAGGGGGCTGGGAAGAACAGATACTTGTCCCCCAAACCCACATGAAGCACACTCAACACACAGCCAGGCACTGTCCTACCCACAGCCTGCACACCTGGCCTCGGCCCTTGGACACACATGACTCAGGAGAGAGGAGGCTCGGGCTGCTGGGGCTCCGGTCCAGCCCCATACCTCCTTTGTTGAATTGTCCCAAGCAAACTAAAATGTGCTCACCTTTCCAAGCCTTAGTTTCTTCCTCTGTAAAGCAGAATGATGCCACCAAGCTTCTTGCAAACATTCAGTGACAGTGCACTTGAAGGTTCTAGCACGCAGGAAGAGCTCAATAAATGTAGTGACTGGAGAATGGGATGAGTGAGAATCACAGTCATGTGCACCCAGGCAAGGATAGTCAAGGGTTTGGTCATAGCTGACTATGTTGCCCCTCTGCCCACTCCCCTCCACCCCTGCCCCATTTCACCCACCCGGTTCCTTGGTGTAGAAGGAGTAGGTTTTGCCTAATCTCACACCCCCAGCTCCATTGCTGGGCTGGAGATGGGGCTGACCTTCTGAGCAGTGTGGACAGGCTTGCCTGCAGATGGGGCAGATACCCTGGGTAGTGTAGACAGCTCCAGGGCAGACACTGGGCAGTATGGACCGCTCTGCCTGGAGAGAGAGGCCACACGGGCAGGAGTTTGGCTGCCTGGGGTGGGGGCACTGTTGATCTCTCAAGTTGTGAGCGGCCTCGGGGGGGGCGGGCCCAGGGCGTGGCCGGGGAGGCGGGGCCACGGGGCACACCGAAGCTCCCTCACGAACCCGGAGGGCGGGGCTGCCTGGCTTCAGGCTGCAGGGGGGCAACGGCCCGGGGCCAGTTCGCTTTCAGTATGGAGAGAGGCACGGAGGGAGGCAGCGCCCTGACGGACCCCGGGTCAGGGAGCAGTAGGCGGGGTAGGCACCGGCGGCGGGGAGAGGGTGGGGGGATTGGGGAAAGACCAGGGCGCAGTGGGGGTGGTGCTGGAAGGGGTGCGAGAGTGTTGGGTGTCTCTCTAGCTGTAGGGGTGTTCTGAGGGGGCATCAGCCTGTCGGTGGCAAGGAGGAGGGGGAACCCTGTTGCCGTGCAGGGGAGTGGAGGGGCTGGGCCAAGGGGGAACTATAAATAGCTTCTTCCTGCAGCCCAGGGAGAGGGACAGCCAGCTGGAGCTGCCTGAGGCCCTCCCGCTCTACCCTTTGCTGGCCTCCCAGGGGGTCAGGTTTGTCCAGGTCCCCCTCAGGGGTCACACGTCAGTTTGGGGAGGCCCAGAAGCTCATTTGGGAAATTTTTCGTATGAAGTGGCTTTAGCCCTTAAACCAGGATTTCTAGGGCACCTACTGTGTGCCTTGTGTGGGTCCTGAGCTGTTCTAAGCACCTACTGTGTGCTCTATCCTGGTCATGTACCTCTCTAGCCCTTACTGTGTGCCTTGGCTGGCAATGAGTCACTCTGAGTGCCTACTGTGTGCCTTGTGCCAAGCTGCAATCAGCAAGTGCCGACCACAGTTCACAGGCTGCTTGGTCACATGGCTCCATACCCACAAGCTGGAACCTCACACCGTCTGTGAGCTCTGGGCCCAGGGAGACACTGGGGATGATCTTGGGCTTGAACTGGCTGGATGAAGCTGGAATTCCTGGGAACCTTCCAGTGGCACAGAGGGAAGAGGAGGAGGGAAATAAAGGGGAAAGGAGGCAGTAGAGAGCAGCGGGCTGTGCAGCCTTCCTGTCTGTGTAGGCCTGGGTGCAGGGCTTGCTAGTGTGTGTGCACGTGTGGCTCTGTGTTCATGCTTCCGTGCACTGGCATGTGGGGCTGTGTGGCATTCACTGAGGTCCCTGGGCCTTTATGCTGCAAAGGGTGGCTTGACGGTCTGGCCAGGACTGACCAACAGATACAGGTTTGGGGAAGAGTTTGAGCAGCAACAACTGAGGATCGAGGACTTCAGCCAACCTATAGCTTGTAGCCTGGGACACTGGAGAGAGGTCTAGTGGTCAGTGCAGAGGGCACCATGGGAGCCAGCCAGGACCAGGCCAGGCAGGTTCATAGAGGAGGGGGGAGACTGAGCAGGACACATTCACACATGAGTGCACGCCGACATCCCAGCACACTTTCCACCCCGTCACTTTGGGATGGCTCCAAGGAAGGAAAAGCCATGAAGGCCAGCTGTTCTCTTGGAAATCTACTGATGCTGTAGGAGCAGAAAGCCAAGAGAGCATTTCAATGGAAGGAACAAGCCAGAGCCCAGGGGTAGGGGTAGGAAATGTGGTGATATGGAAGGTGTGGGAGGTGAGGTTTTAAAGGGCTGGGAGTTCATCTCAGTCTGTCCTGCACTGTGGGCTGGCTCTGTGACGCCGGACCCTGCTCTCCTCCCTCAGTTTCCTACCTGAGAAATGGGCGGGGAGACGAGGAGCATTCTTAGAGCAGAGGTAGACTTTGACCTTGGGGAGGGGCCCCAGGCTCCTCCTGCTGGTGACCTGTGGCCTCCCACTGGATGTTGGGACTTGGGAAGGTGTGTCTGGGTCAGCCCAGGGCCAGACTGTTTGGGGAAGAGTGGGAGGTACAGTCATTGCTCTTCCTGAGAAGTCAGGCTCAGACTGGCCTTGGGGACAGCTTCCTCGAAATGGCCCTGGCATCCTGCCCTGCCCTACCCCCTACCCCCTACCCCCAGCTTTTGACTAGCATCCCAGGAGGGGTAAGGAGGAGAATGGCAGGCAGAGGAGGTGCTGGGTGTCTGTGGGTGCTAGAGTATGTAGCCTTTGCAGTGAATGCTGGGGGTTGGATAGGGTGTGGGTGGGTGGTGACAAGGTCTCTGAGGTCGAGGTGACCCCAGGATGGCCTTGGCAACGGCTCAGAGACAGACCGGAAGATTGGCTGTGCCAGGAACCAGTGAGTGGCTTTGGAGAAGTAGGAAGCAGGTGGGTGGTCACAAGGGGCATCAGGAGCCACATATGAGTGTGTTCAGAGCTGCCCTGGTGTGAGGTGGAAGGAGGTGGGAGGTGGACGCTGCAGAGAGAGGATGAAAGAGGAAGTGCTCAAGTCTGTCTGGGGCAGGGCATTCCTCTGGGGGTAGGCAGCTAAAGCTGGTTTCAGGAAGGATCTAGGTGGGCTTCCACCTCCCCATCCATCTCCTGTGAAGTGGGCAAGACATCTGTATCAGAGTTATCTTAAGGGTCCTTGCCAGGCTCTGAAGTGCTGGGTGGAGACAAGTGGGTGGCAGGGAGGTCAGAGGGAGGGGATGCTGCTCCCCTGATGCACCTGGCTCCTGGCTGGGCACACTTTGGGCAGAGAGAACCTGAGAGTGCCATGATCCTGTCTGGGGGTTTTGTGGAGGACATCGCTAGAGGGCAGTGTGACCCAGGTTTGAGCAGTGTCAGTGGGGGTCCCGGGACAGAAAGTGTACCAAACTTTGAGAAATTGGGCTGAAGAGACAAAGGAAAGTGACACAGGGTTCCTGAACTTCTGGATTTCTCCCTTGCCCCCTGCTTCCACTGCATTCTTAGAGACGGGAGGGAGATAAATAATATAAATGATATCACTGATGTGCTTTAAAATGGATTTCTCAGACACTGACACATTTAATAAATACCAGAATCTTGTAGGTTGATGATGCCCGCATTCTGTTTTCCTGATGGAGAGACAGAGATTCATTTAAAAAATATGTAGATTTACAATTTAAAATTTAATTGGTAGAGATGAAATCCTGGCAGGAGAAGTAAGATACTGCCAGGGAGCTTGGTTAAAAGGTCCTGCTCATGTGTTCCAGGTGGGCCAGAGTTTTAGCCTGAGCTTCCCACTAGCCAAGGTAAAAAGAGGAAACATGATCAATTTTGAGATTTGTCCCGTGCCCCTGTCCATGAGGTAAAGAAACTTTTCCAGCGCGGTTGAGTCGGTCGCTTCAGTGGGCGAGGTTAGAGTCCTGGGGCTTGAGAGAGGGTCGAGAGAGGACCGAACGCAGGGCTGGCGGGCGTGGCAGTTGACAACTGGGATTACGCAGGAGTCACCAGACAGGTCCCGAACAACTGAGACCTGAGGGTCAAGCAGGCCCTGCTCCCGGGCATGCAAATCTCTTCCTCCTAGGGAACCTGAGGTCAAGGGTAGCAGTGAGCAGAACCCGGGTGCTGGGGGGGAGGGGAGGGGGAGGGGGGGAGGGGGCAATCTATGCAGGCGAGGCCGTGGGTGAGACTAATACTAACGCGTATCTGAGTGTACGGTTGGGTGTGCCGGGCTAGAGCCTCTGCACATCCCGGGCTAGAAGCTGTGGGGAGCTGGGCATGCGCGTCCTCGATCCCGGCGTGACTGGCGAGCCTGCTGGGTCCAAAACCGGCTGGCAGTCGAGTTGGGCATGCGTGGTCGGAGGCCAGCCCTCTTCTGTTGGGGGGTAGGGCCTATTTGTTCTGGGGAGGGGCCTGGAGGAGTTGGATTGGCGTCTGCACGGCTCGAGGAGGGGCGGGGCCGAGGGGCGGGGCCTCGAGTGGCCCGAGGTGGCCTGGCTGCTGGGTCGCGGTCCGCGCAGTCCGACTCATCCCATCCCGGGTATGGCGTCCCCACGGGAATTGACTCAGAACCCCTTGAAGAAGATCTGGATGCCCTACAGCAATGGGCGACCCGCTCTGCACGCCTGCCAGCGCGGTGGTGAGGCGGGGTCCTTGGGGAAGGGGAGGGCGGCGCATCGGGATGCGTGGATAGGGCGGCCTGGGCAGTGGTCTCCCATGGAGAGGGGGCCAAGGACAGGTGGGAAACCGGGGACAGATGGGGCTGCCGTGACTGGTGGTAGAGGAGCAGGAACAGGCCGGGAGCCGGGCACAGGTGTGGCAGAGCAGGGGGAAGAGACGTGTATATGGCCGCGTCTACGCTCGCTAGGGGCTAGGTCTGGCCGCCATCACCTCTGGCAGGTACTCACTAGGTCAGGGCAGGGGAGGATTCGGAGCTTCGTCCTGCCCTCTCTGCAAGCCAGAGAGTGTAGACCGGTTCTGAGCTGTGTTGGCCTTATGGAAATCATTTGGCCTCTCTGAGCCCGGAAGTTTCAAACGCCCAAGGGTGGGCCATTCCTCGAGTGGGAGGAAGGGTGCTCCTTGGACTTAACTACCCACTTCTGGGCCTAAAACTGAGCTTTGAGAGGAATTTCAGGGAAGTGCAGTTGTGTTGAGAATGGAGAAGGTGAGAACACTGTCCCATATGGACCTGTCTTTGTGTTCATGGCTGTATATGCATCCAGATGGGGTTGTGGGCGAATGGTAAGGTTGGAAGAGAAAACATCCAGGAGACATGCTGAAATCTGTGGAATTGTTAATGAATTGTTACGGCGGGGCCTGCCTTTCCTGGGATCCTGGTGTTTAATCCACTTTACTTGACTTTCTATTTGCCCTTACATGAGTCTGCAACCGCTTATTGCCAAGAAAAACAAAGATTTTTTTTTTTATAACCGAAACATTATAATGAATTTGCAAATTGGCAAGGACCTCAGAGAACATCTAGTCCAACTCGTGGTACAGATATAGAAATGGAGATCAGGAGATTGTGTGTTGTGCTAGGATCTCCTTGTACACCTTGATGTTTGCTTGGGCATAATAAGGGAGGGGAGAGTGCCCTGTGCTTGTTTTGCTTTGGGCCAGCCTGGGGGCTCTTTGACCAAGATGTGAGTCCTGTAGATGGGCTGTGTGTATCTCTTACTGTACTGGGTCCTGGTAGGGGGTGGTCATGGTTTTGACCAGACATTCTGGTGGGTCATGGCTCTAATCATGATGTAGGTCCTGGTAGGAGGCTGAGGTGGTGGTCAGTCTCTTAGCCCGGGGGCCATGGCTTTCCAGTCAGTACTCAGTCTGACTGGCTATGGCTCAGTACTGAGTCTATGGCTACACCCTAGACATCCTTTCTTCCAGACTTTTCTGGTTGGACCGAGGCCAAGGCCTCTTGCTCTTGTGCTTCTAGCCAGTCTGCATTAGGCTGTCTTGTCCTAACAAGGGGGTGGCTGCTGTTACTACATAAAGGCGAAGGAGTCACAACCTGGGCTTTTGGAGGCAGGAACACTCCAGCCACATGGTAGCTCAGCTGTGTGACCTTGGGCACGAAGCTGACTCTCTCGGCCATGGGTTCCTCATCTGTGGGATGGAGGTAGCCATCTCCCTACTCCCAGAAGCTGCCAGGAGCCCCCTCAGGAGGAGGCGCTTGATAAGAGGCAGCAGGTGGCTCTGCCATTTCATCACCACTTTGCTTCTCTGTGTGTCAGAGTCAGGAATTGAAACATCAGCCCTGAGCCAGCCCCCATTCCAGGTGGCAAAGATGCTGCGACCCGTTGGGGAGGGATCTGTGTTTCTCCACGCTCCAAGGATGCGATGAAAATGTGGCTCTGGTCTGAGCAGAGGAACTTGTGCCATGGCACTGTCTCAGGGTGTTGCAGCGGGTGGGATTCTGGACTGTCCCAGAACAGGAGAGCTTCCTGGAGGAGGAGGCACCCAAGAAGCCAAAGATGAGACCTGCAGATTGTGTGGTGGTTTGGTCCCCAAGCAAGGGTCCCTGAGTTCACAGCAGGGAGTAAGCCAGGAGTGAACATGGAACCTGTCTGGGCAGCACCTCCAGTCCCTAGAGACTGTTCATGCGGCACTGTACCCTCTACATGGTGGACTTATAACTTGATGGAAGACCACAGGAGGCCCCCCTCTGAGGGAGGGGGATGGGTAGAAGTTGACTTGATCACAGGGCTTTGTGGAGAAGAGGATATAGGGCCTACGGCTGATCTGTGCTGTGTAGTGGGTTGGCTTTGGTGTATACTCCCTGGCTCCTGAGGGCACCACAGGCTGGTTGGCTGTGCTTCCTCCACCCCCACTCCCCATTAGCAATTCTTCTTCCTTCGGAAAAATTCAGAGCTACACATGAAGGCCTGGAAGTTGTTACCTTCTTCATCATTGACCCCTCAGCTCAGACTTGGAGGAGTTCTGGGGGCAGGTGGGGCAGGGAATGAAGAAAGGAATCAAAACAGAAAGGACAGTACTTTTGATAGATTTATTTTATTTTATTTTATTTTTTAAGAGAGAGCACGAGCGTGCACACATAAGTGGGGAAGGGGCAGAGAGGCGTGCCCAACATGGAGCCTGATTGGGGGGAGGGGGGCTCAATCTCATGGACTGTGAGATCATGACCTGAGCTTAAATCAAGCGTTGGATGCTTAACTGACTGAGCTACCCAAGTGCCCCTATGATAGCTTTTATTAACAAAAAGGTAACAAGACTTTTCTTTTTTTTTTTTAATGTTTATTTATTTTTGAGAGAGAGAGAGAGACAGAGCATGAGCGGGGGAGGGGCAGAGAGAGAAGGAGACACAGAATCCCAAGCAGGTTCCAGGGTCTGAGCTGTCAGCACAGAGCCAGACATGGGGCTCGAGCTCACAAACCATGAGATCATGACCTGAGCCTAAGTCGGACGCTGAACTGACTGAGCCACCCAGGTACCCCAGGTAGCAAGACTTCTGGGCTAACGACACGATTGGTGCATGCACGGGACGATAGGAAAGATGACTTTCTGTCCCCTCTGAACAGGACAGTGATACCAGGCTGCTTTATTTTAAAGAGTACTCCCTTCCCCAGCCTGCCTCAAGGAAGTAGGAGCACGTGCAGTTCAGGAATCAGTTCTGGAACCCACTCAGGACTTGTGGCTGCCCCTGAGGTGACACCGCCAGAAAGTCATCCCTGTGTTGCACTAGGCTTATGTCGGACCTCTTGACTCCTGGGGCTCCTAGGGCCTTAAGCAAATTTATAGGAAAAGAAATCAGTGAGGTAAGTCGAATTGACATGTCTGCAGATTTCCTTCTGCACCCGCCTCGTGTTCTAAATGGTGCGTTCTGTTGTCTGGTTGCTCGGGACTGAGGTTCTTGAGGGCCCAGAGCTGCAGTTCCAGCTGTGCACCCAGCTCACCTGGCGCGTATGCTCTCTGTTCAGGCGCGGTAGTGGGTTCCCTCTTGTGGGCCTCAGTTTGCAGATTCTCTACTGCTAGCACTTGCTTATGTTTTGCTGTTGTAAGCAGAGCTATTGTGAATACACTTGTACCTTGATCTTTTTTTGGGTCATTTCCTTGGGAGCTTATCTTGAGGAACAGAGATGGTAGGTAATTTATTGCTCTTATTCTGCACCCAGCCCTGGTTTACTGCCCTGCCTGCCCACCATGGCTGTGCATGGGGTCAGGGGATGCTGTTACCAAACACTGGGAGAGGAGGCCAGGAGTTTCTCTGGGGTGGGAGATGTGAAGACGGATCCTGAGGTGGTGGGAGAGCCCTTCAGGGAGCAATGGGAAGGAGTGGAGCAGGCTGGCTGCAGGTTTCCCCCATAGTTAGTAGCTGATTCACTGTTCTTTGGTTGCTTGAGAGCCTGGCCAGCAATTGTGCAAACAGCACAGGCCATCGTGTCGCTGGGCCTCAGGATGCAGGGTCTTGCTTAACTTGCTTTTCTCTCTCCTTAGCCAATGCTGAGGTTTTTCTGCAAGCTCACTCTTGCTCACTGTCATCCTGTGTTCCATGGGATCCTCTCCTTCTCTCCCCTGAGGCTCACAGTTTGGGTCACATTTGCCCAACGGTCATGTGCAAGAGCGTTGGAGCCCCGACTGACAAGCAAAGCCCTTTACTTCTCTGCAGGGCCTGCCTGGAGACAGACAGGTGCTTCTGTGCCCTAAGTCTGAAGGGCAGTCTGTGCTAAGGTGCACTTGTGTCCTTAGCCAGGTGTGCTGCCAGGGCTGGGCAGAGGGCACAGGTTCCCAGACCTGCTCTGGCTTTCACATGGAATAGTGCTAGACCTCACTGAGGGATTGTCATCCCATTTTACAGGTGAGGACACCAAGTCTCAAAGTTGCCAGTAATTGTCAGAGTCAGTATAGGAACCCAGACCTGTCTGACTCCTGACCCCTAGACAGGGCTGCCCCTAGGGCCTCTGCACTCCAGCTCCAGTGAGGGAGACAACTTGAGGGGTGGGGCCCAGTGATCTGTCCAAGGACTACCAGGTGAAGGCACTTGCAGAGCATGGGGCAGTGACAGGTCCCCACACGGGCCCTCTGTCTGTCTGCTGTGGTTTCACATGGCCCAGGTGCTGAGGACAATGAAAGGAAAGCTTCCTCAGGTTTCTGAGGTGAGGCTACACTGAAAGCTGAGATGGGTCACGTGAGGCTGGTGGTTCTGCTGTCTTGGTGTCTGTCCTAGTGGACCAGGGTTTGGGGGTGCTGTGTCCAAACCTGTCCCTGCCTCCAGCCTTGGCAACTTCTCTGGCTGCCACACTGACCCGGTGACACGTGGGATGGTGGGGGGTGGGCTATCAGAGGGTCAGTCCTTGTGGACATTGGTCTCAGCCCCTCATGGCTCTCACCCCAGGGGATTTCGAGAAGCCGCCCCTCCCCCCAGCCTGCGCCCATAATTTTTGAGCATCAGTCCTGTGCCAGACCCCATGGTCCTGAATGGCTCAGATACTGCAAGGCTGCTCTTGTTTCAAGTGATCAAATGCAGGGGGCGGACTCGTGGGTGAGGTGACCAGGACTGAGGGAGAGAGAGGGTGCCAAGGCAGTGCAGAGGTGTCTTGGAGGGAGGGTTCACTGAAGAAGCAGCTTTTGAGCTGGGCTTTGTACGATGAGGCAGGCAGGAAGGGTAAGCAGTGGGAATGCGCTAGTGGGAACGCTGAGTGACTGCTAGGCTGGGGTGCGGATTCCTGGGTGACAGGTGGCGCGTTGAATACCCTCTGGGCTTTGGCTCTGTCCTGCATGTTCATCCAGGGGTGTGGCACATCCAGCTTTATATCCACAGTGCACATCTGGATAAGGGGCTGGTGAGATTCTGCTGTATCCGCTGGAGCCCAGACAGGCCTGGGCAGTGGGGCCATGCCAGTGGTGGCTCGAGACCAGGGTATGAGGCCAGAAGGCCTGGAGGGCACATCTGAAGTCCTGTGCCAGGAGCAGAGGGAGGGGCACACTGGGAGGGGTCCCAGCTCTTGTCTGACACCAGCTCCTTGCCTTTCAGTTTGCATGACCAACTGCCCAACGCTCATTGTCATGGTAGGCCTGCCTGCCAGGGGCAAGACCTACATCTCCAAGAAGCTGACTCGCTACCTGAACTGGATTGGCGTGCCAACACGCGGTGAGACTTGGCCTCGGCTTCCAAGGGGGCCTTGGGGCTTTGTGAGGGGGGGGGGGAGAGGAGGAGAGAAGTCTGGTCTGGGATGTGTCAAGGGCAAGAGCTGGGGCTGCTGCTGTGTGAAAGATGAACCTTTCTTTCCCCCAGAATTCAACGTTGGCCAGTACCGCCGGGACATGGTCAAGACATACAAGTCTTTTGAGTTTTTCCTTCCAGACAACGAAGAGGGCCTGAAAATCAGGAAGTGAGTGTATGTATGTGTGTGTGATGTGTATGTGTGATTGTGTGTGTTTATGGAGAAGGCCCTGGAGCCCAGGTGCCGATCATGACTAAGCTGCTCCTGAGCCCTGGCCTTGCCCTGCCCCCACTGGGCTGTGATAGGGCTGGTCTCCTGACCATCTCAGGATGTGGTGGAGCTGAGGATGTGTTGGATTTGGGGACAGTGGGAGAGGGTGTGTGGCCTCTTGGTAGTTGGCCCTGCCCTGGGGTTCATGAACTCTTAGTAAGGACATCCTGTGGGAGGGGAAGAGGGGGCTTCAGGGAGATGCAAGGGGCTTAGCCAGGGTCAGTCAAGGGCTGGCTGCATAGAAGCCTCTCAGCTTGCTTACCCCAGGCCTTCCATGGGGATGACCTCTAGTAGGGAGGGAGGCCCGAGTAGGTGCAGGGACACAGGCCTCAGGGATGGGGCAGAGTGGGAGTGGGACTACCTCCAGGCAGCTTCTCACAAAGCCAGAAGGATCAGCCCAGAACCGTGGCCTTCCTTCCCTTGCCCCAGAATAAACTGTATACTTGGAGGATGTTTGGCATGTGCTTGGCATGTTCTTGGCATGTGTAGGGTAGGCCGTGGCTTTGCTTTCATGTGGCTCAAACTTCACACTCTTGCTCTTATTCATGAGATGGGAATTTGCATGTGACACTCAGACTTGAACTGAGAATACCAGCTGGTGGTCTGAGGAGCTATGCTGCATTCTTTTCGGCAGATGTCAGCTGAGGGTTCAAGAAGCTTCCTTTCCCTTGCTCTGGACCCAGCCATTGTGGTAGGGCATTTAGCGGAGGTCTGCCCAGCTGTAGTGACCTCTCCAAATCAAGTACGGGTCCAGGCCAGAAGCTACTGAGTTGTTGCCCAGGCCTGGATTCTAGGCTGCCTGCTCTGTCTCTGGCCACCAGGGGGCAAGAGCTCTTCGCTGTGGCGCTTGGCCCCTCCCCAGGGTTTGCTCTTGGGGCAGTAGGGCTGGGCCAGGCTGCTGCACCAAGAAGGTGGGGGAATCTGACATTTCAGGCCTGTGGCTGAATTGTGGGTCAAACATGAGACTGGACCCTTTGGTGACCCTGACAATAGGGAGGGGAGTGATATTTGAACTCCTGCTGTGTATTGGGTGCATGCTGCCCATTATCACCGCCCCTTCCCATTTTACAGATGAGGAAACTGAGGCTCAGGTGTCTCATATAAGATAACAAGTTACTTCAAAGAGCCCAGACTTGAATCTAAGCCCATATACCACTAAAAACTGTTGTGTCCATCTTCTAGTATTACCCAATTAGTAGGTCAGAGATCATATCAAATGCAGATTCTACAGCATCCTCAAGCCGTGGGCACTAACTAGCTTGCCTGATCTTTCCTTCAGTGGGTGCTGGCACCTTACTCTCCCAGATGTGGAGACCAGGTCTGAAAGTGATGGTATTTTAGGATCACGCAGGGTTTGAATTTGAAGCCAGGCCTGTCTGAATCCAAAATATTTGCGGGAACAATAAGAGAGCTGGCACTCCTAGGGCTCACCGCTAATTCTGCTCAGGCTGCCAGTCGAAGGTAGGCGTATTGGGATTAACTGAGATGGGGAAACCCAGCCTCGGAGTGGTTGGGGAGCTAGTCCAAAGTCACCCAGCTGGAACAGAGGCCCCAGCGGTAGCAGCTGGGGGCAGGTTCACATGGGCCTCTCTGCAGGCACACCCTCTGCCTATTCCTAGAAACCCTCCCTTCTGGATCTAAAGCCTGGGTCTGTGCTACCGGACCATTTCCCAATAACCAGCCCTGAACGTCCCACAGCTAACTGGCAAAATAGAAGAATCAGACTTTTTAAAGTGGGAAGCCTGAGAAGAGAAGACTGTATTTCCCAGAGGCCTAGGTTCTTGTATATCTTCGAGGTCCCTGGAGTTCTACAGCATTGATGTCTGTCCCAAACACTGGGCACAGTGGTCTCCTACTACACACGAGCCCATATGGCGGCCGTGGGCGCATGCACATTTGTCTGACAATTCAGTTCAGTTCTTTTTTTTTTTTTTTTAATTTTTTTAATGTTTTTATTTATTTTTGAGAGAGAGAGAGAGAGAGAGAGGGAGACACAGAATCCAAAGACAGGCACCAGGCTCCAAGCTGTCGGCACAGAGCCCAATGTGGGGTTCAAACTCATGAACCATGAGATCATGACCTGAGCCAAAGTCGGACGCTCAACTGACTGAGCCCCCCAGGCGCCCCAATTCAGTTCAGTTCTAACACTATCTATCTGGAGTTAGCATCAGTCTGCATAGGTTAAGGGCTCAGTCCCACAGACTGCCCCCAATTTACACTCACACCCCCATCCTCTCAGGCTCCCAGGCTGTTCCTCCCACATTTCCACTGGAGCCCTGAGATGTACGTGGTGCTGCCTTAGCCAGAGCAGCCCACAGATCTCAGCCCAGAGCATGGTGCTGAATGCAGGTGGCCAGAAATGGCTCCGGCAATGCCAACTTCCCAGACTCTCAGAATTCAGGTTTCTGGGCGTGCAAAAGCTTTTTGAAATGTTAACTAAAAGACCCACTGGGGCACAGAAAGGTCACAAGGAGGCATAGGAACAGAGCTCCTCCCAGTGACCTGGACTCAGCTCTGCCACCAGTTTCCCCATGACCCCAGCAGGCTGCCTCCTGCTTGGCTTGGCCCGTGCCTCCATGCACGGGCACAGTGGCCCGGCCCGGTGGAGGCCCTGACAGCACAGCCCTTTGATGCACTGGGGGTTTATGTGCAAAATCAGAAGATCAAACAAATGGAAGAAGATCTAATTTTATTCTTACATCAGAAAAGATAAAAAGAAAGAAAAAGAAAAAGAAAGAAGGAAAGAAAGAAAGAAAAGAAAGAAAAAGATTAAAATGATTTATCTAGCTGCAGACCTTGTGGGAGAAACGGATAAAATTAGGAAGATCCTTATATATAGCAGTATGTTTAGCCGCAGTAAACCAAGAGGCTGAGATGTTCTGAAGGCAGTATAACCAATGGTCAGTCATGGGGAAAGTTTCACCTTCCACAGGGCCAGTGGACATGGTGCAAGAGGCAGAGACACAGCGTCCTCCTCCAGGAAGGATAGTATCACGTGTTTTCTCTCCCAGGAAAGAAAATTGAATATTAAACGTAATGTTGCCCTGGGGACCAGCGATAGTGTCTTTTGTCTCCCCACTGCCAGCCCCCAACAGTCACATATGAGGAAATGTCTGGTTTTGAAAGTGCTTATTTTGATATCAGGGGAAATGCATGACACTTGGAAGTCATGCATATGGCAAAATGGCAGCCTGGATTTGCGCCCAATGAGATAAGAAGAGAAAGCACAGAAAAGTGGTATTTTAAAAACTATTCCCAGTGGCCAGGAACACGTAGCCTTTCACTTACAGGAGCAGAGTTCACAAAAGCGCTGAAAATTACCCGAAGGAAAGAGAAACCTTGAGAAGAGAAGGGACCCCAGGGACTGTGCCCTCTCTGGTCTGGGGTAGAACATATCCCTGACCTGTTGCCCTCCTGCAGCCAGGGTCGGGTGCTGGGCTGACCCTGTGTTTTTTCTTCTGAAGGCAGTGTGCCCTGGCGGCCCTCCGTGATGTCCGGCGGTTCCTTAGTGAGGAGGGGGGACATGTGGCGGTGAGTGTAACACCCTGGTGACTTCTGGGAGTGACATGTGGGAGCCTATATACATCTAGCCCTTTGCTCATCAGGAATCCAGAAGGGAAGTCAGGGTGTGTGTGGCCCCAGCTGCCCCTGGGCTCCAGCCCTTGGGCGGAAATCTACAGCCACCATGTAAGAGGAAGCTAGAGGCTGGATGTGTGCTGGGGATTTCCCTCTGGGCTTGTGGTTGCATTTGATCCAGTAGGACTTCCTTCTGAATACTCACATTATTGGCCACCGCATGTGGTAGATCATGTTACCAAGTCTTTAGCAAATGTGATTTCTCCTGGGGTGGGGAGAATCCTGGCCCGTATTTAGTGGCTGTTCTGGGAGCCAGCCAAATCCTGGGTAATGGGATTCCCCTGTGTGTTGGCCCCTCCTGTCAGGTGGATGGGTGGGACACAGTTGAGCAAGGGTGTCTGTTGGAAAGGGCCCTACCCTAACCCTATGCAGTCAAACACAGGGGCTGCTTTTTCCTTCCCTTTTCCTCTCGGAGACGTGCCTCCCACAGCTCTTCATCCTCCAGCTCCATCTGGAGCCTTCTCAGTCTGTGGTAGCCTGGGAATTCCCTTCTGACTCCGAGTAGAATGCCCTGCTCTCGGACCCCGTGTCTTCTTTTTCCTTGTTTACTGACTTGTTTTGTTGGAGCACATCCTCCAGTAGCTTCCTGAGAAAGGTACTTAGGAAGTACATCACATGAGACCTTGCATGTCTGGTAATGTCTTGTTTTATCCTTATAGTTGATGGTTGGGTGTAGGTGGGAGGTATTTTTCCTTTAGAATTTCCACAACATTGCTCTGTTGTGTTATGGCTTCTAGAATGGCTGTGGAAAAGTCAGATGGCATTCTGATTTGTTGATCTTCCTAACAGTTTCATCTCTTGGAGGGAACTGGAGATGCTCATGGCCTTTTCTCTGGGGAGAACTTTAGGGCCTTGCCATGGGTCCTCTCCTCCACACTGAGTCCTGGGGTGACTTTTCCAATGGGAAACTCTTCTTTAACAGATCAGGAAATTGTTGTCTATTAATTACTTTGATAAACCACCCGACCACTTTCTGACAGTGATTTGCCATTCCACTCCCATTTCCTGAGCTGTTTTTTCTAGAACTCCTGGTGGCTTCATGCTAGGCTTGGGCCCTAATTTTATCTTTTTTCTCCTTCTTTTCTTTTTTTTTTTTTTAACGTTTATTTATTTTTTTTGGGACAGAGAGAGACAGAGCATGAACGGGGGAGGGGCAGAGAGAGAGGGAGACACAGAATCGGAAACAGGCTCCAGGCTCTGAGCCATCAGCCCAGAGCCTGATGCGGGGCTCGAACTCCCGGACCGCGAGATCGTGACCTGGCTGAAGTCGGCCGCTTAACCGACTGCGCCACCCAGGCGCCCCTTTCTCCTTATTTTCTATGTCTGTCATTTTTGTTCTATTTTCAGGGAGACTTTCTCAACAAGCACTTTATCTTATGAGCATTGGGTTGAATTTAAAAAAAAGTCATATGATCATATTTTAATTTCTAAATTCTAAATTTCTTATTCTCCTAGTGTTCCAGTTTTTTATAACTCTGTCTTGTGGTTACTATAATATTTTGTATCTCTCTTTAAATAACAATTGTAAGTTTTCTTACATTCCTTTATATTCTATACCCCGTCTTCTTTTGCTGAAAGTTCTTTTTATTCTTTTTTTATCTAGTCTGTTTTTCATGTTAGAGGTTTTGCTGGAGCATCCAGTGAGCCCTGATTAAGTGCCCTTTTAAAAAAAAAGTCCTGCTCTAGGGCGCCTGGGTGGCTCAGTCAGTTAAGCATCCGACTTCGGCTCAGGTCCTGATCTCACAGTTCATGAGTTTGAGCCCCGCATCAGGTTCTGTGCTGACAGCTCAGAGCCTGGAGCCTGCTTCAGATTCTGTGTCTCCCTCTCTCTCTGCCCCTCCCCTGCTCATGCTCTGTCTCTCTCTCTCAAAAATAAATATTTAAAAAAAATTTTTTTTTAAGTCCTGTTCTAAAAGCTGCTTGGACATGCATATAAGTGGGTTACCCCTGAGGGTGTGTGGACAGGCCCCAGGCAGTTCATAAGGAGTTCCAGGCGGGTCAGCCTGGCTGGATGTGGTGGGGAGAAGGCCTAGGGTTCCACCTGGTCTTTGCTGCACCACCAGGCAGTCCTCCCTCTTCCTCTGCACACATGTCTCTTTGCTCAGAGACACCTGTGTCCCGATTCCGACTATCCTGGTTCTGTACAAGTGGGTGTGCTCTGGTGGGTGAGGGCTTGTATTTGGTTTTCTCCATTTCTTGTGAGTCATTCACACAAATTTTGTTAACATCTCCTCTCCTGTTCTCTTTACTCTTCTTTTCCCATTTTAGTAGAGTCTGAGGATGGCACAGAAATAAACAGGGGTTCTGCTCTCCATGTGTAACTGGTTTTACAGGAAGCATGAACTGAGTCAAGCGTAAACTGAGTGCCTGCTGCATGCAGGGCAGTGCTGAGTGTGTCCTTTGTGCCAAGAGTTTGCTGCCCTGCCAGGAGCAGAGCCACCCACTCCTTCCAGCTTCCTTGAGGTGTGTTCCTCAAGGAAGGGGAGTACCAACCCAGCCCTTGCAGGTCTAAAGAACACTGGCCAAGAGGGTGGCCTGGGCAACAGAAGGTCCCTGTGAGAAATCCGGTCCCCGTACTGCAGCTGTTGGCTGACTTCCCCTCTTCTCCAGGCCAGAGGCTGAGTTAACCCTAGTTTGGTCCTAGGTTTTTGATGCAACAAATACCACCCGAGAACGGAGAGCGACCATCTTTAATTTTGGGGAACAGAATGGCTATAAGGTGAGGCCTCTTTGGTTTACCTTCTTGGTTGGGCTGTGGCATAGTCGGACCCCCTGGAGCCCCTTTCATAGCCTGGTGACATGTGCTGGGCATCAGGCAGGTGGGTTCCAGAGTCGATTTGGGATAGAAGCGTTGCTATTTTCTCTCCACCTGGAATTTTCTGTTTGGGGAGGTGGGTGTCTTGATGGGAGAATCCTGGATAGGGTGGCATCTTCTTTGGTCTGGGGCTTCTTGACCTTTCCCTCAAATGCAGAAATCCCTTGGGTCAGCGTGGCCCTCAGTGGGGTAGGGGCTCCCTGGAGCCAGGCCCAGGGCCCTGAGAGTGTCTGGTTCCTTTTCTCCTGCCTGCCCTGGTCCTTGCTGCAGACCTTTTTTGTGGAGTCCATCTGTGTGGATCCTGAGGTCATAGCCGCTAACATCGTGGTGAGTGGTGTATCTGACCTTGTGGGGCAATAGTACAACTGAGGTAGCATGGGACAGTGAGGTCCTCTCCAGGTCTGGGCTGGTGCCTGGGCCAGCCTTAATTTGGTCTTCTTGAACACTGGGGGTGGGGTGATCATAGATGCCCAAGGGCCACTTGTGTGGAGGGCCACGTAGCTGGGGGCATTCATTCTTGCTCCCTCCTCTTCCCTTCCCTTCCCCTCCCTTTCCCCCTCATAATTCCCTGGACAGTGGGAGAGGAGCTTCAGCCTCTGGAGGTAGAGAGTGTGGTAGGAGGTGGTTATATTTGGAAAGAGAAAGAGATTTGATCTCTCTCCTACCCCCTGTTTTACAAGGAATGAATATCTGGGGTTGGGAGGATGGTTCAGATGGCCTCACCTCCCCCAGTGCCACAAAAATGAGGGACTCTGATCTTAGGGTGCCCACTAATACTCTGTGGCACTGGTGTGGGAACTAAGACCAGGGAACTGTTGAGCTCTTCCTAACGGGACCCGTCTTCTGGGATTGGCCTCCAGCCTCATGCCCGAAGCCTTGGCCTTGGCCTCTGGCCCTGCCTCCCCCTTCCCCCTGCCCGGCATTCTCCTTGGTCTCTGGCCCTGCCTGGCCTCCAGCCCTGATGTGATGTCTGTGCTTGGTCCGGCAGCAAGTGAAACTCGGCAGCCCCGATTATGTGAACCATGATAGTGATAAGGCCACGGAAGATTTCATGAGGCGCATTGAATGCTATGAGAATTCATATGAGTCATTGGATGAGGACCTGGACAGGTGAGTGAGGAGAGCAGTATGTCCTGCAGCTATGATAGGTGGGTGGGGGGGATCCCCCTGAGCTGCCTCCTTGTGACTCCCTGTGGTGGTGGCTGATGGGCCACTCCAACAGGCAGAGATGGTCTGGCCTTGTTTCTTTCCTTCAAGCAGAAATTGAGGACCAGAAATGACTTGCAGAACCCCATTACCTTATTGGGGCTCTGCAAGTCAGAATTTTCTGTTATTCCATACAGTTCTTGATCTCAGGGTTGTAAGTTCAAGCCCTGTGGTGGGTGTAGAGCTTACTTAAAAAAAAGAAAGAAGGAAAGAAAGAAAAGGAAGGAAGGAAGGAAGAAAAGAAGGAAGAAAAGAATTTTTGCTATTCTGTTATAAAATCAAGCCTGATTTCTGTTCAGCGGATCTTCCTGCCAGGCATTTGCAAACATTACATGCTGCCCTTTAAGTGCTCGGTCTGCATTTTGAGCAGGCAGGAAGGAGTGCCCAGATGCTGCCTACAAACAGCTGGCAGTGGCCTGTGCTGATTAATTCCACTGCCTCTTTCTGGAATGGCAGACCCAGCAGGCACTAGGAATTAGTGTCAGGTGGGGAGGAGCCTTTAGGCCCACAAGGGGCGTTCAGCTGAGGCTCTTACAGTAGCAAACTTTTTCTGTAAAGAGTCAGGTAGCAAATATTTTAGGCTTTGGGGACATATAGTCTCTGTTGAGCTATTTAACTCTGCCATTGTGGTGCAAAGGAAACAGACAATGTGTCAATAAATGGCTGTGGTCCAATAAAACTTTATTTACAAAAACAGGTCGTAGGCTGAATTTGACTTATTGGCCATAGTTCATCGGTTTCTGTCTAACAGCAAAAGTGGGGGCAGTGGTTAAGTAAGTGACAGTGTGGCCCCTTGGTAAAGTGTTGTATAGTCACAGATCATACCGACAATGCATGGGAAGGTGTCAGTTATGTAGTATTAAGTGAAAGACTGGAATATAAACTTGGGCGTGGGTCACTTATAATGACATGAGAACATCTGATGTATTCAAACTAAGGAGAACTAGCCACTATAAGAGGGATGGTTTCTGGGGTTCTTTGCAGAGCACTGGCTGAGTCTCCTTGGCCAGCCTAAGGCAGTTGCACTAAACAACACTCATTGCCTGGGCCCCCTCTGTGGTTTTTTGTGTTTCTCCAGTCACTCCAGCTCAGCGGTTTTCCTCATGGTTCTGTGATGTGACCGTGCGAGACGCTTAACTGGAGCAGCTCCTGTTGGATTCCTCAGTTAACGTGCTGCTGTTTTTTGGTTTTTCAAATTTTTTTTTTTTGACATGTATTTATTTTTGAGAGAGAGACAGAGCACAAATGGGGGAGGGGCAGAGAGAGAGGGAGACAGAGAATCCAAAGCGGGGTCTAGGCCCTGAGCTGTCAGCACAGAGCCCGACGCGGGGCTGGAACTCATGAACCGTGAGATCATGGCCTGAGCCGAAGGCGGACGGTTAAGCGACTGCATTGCTGCTATTTTTATTGGTGTCCATGTAACAACCCTAAACCTAAAGCCAGGCTCCCGGGCCAGACAGTGAGAGCTCAGATGCGAGCATGCAGGGAGCTCCTGGCCAGTCCAGAGCACGATGCCTGAGAAACCCCACCTCTCCTCCTGGTGCCTCCCCAACACCCAGCAGACATATCAGCAGAGAATGTTCTCCCAGCTGCAGCACTTCCCAGCCAGAACGAGGGAAGTGGCCGAGCTGGGTTTCAACAGGAGGGCTCACTGGGGGAGGGAACGGCAGGTGCAGGGGTGGCTGGCCAGGGGAGTGGAGGAGGAGTGCTTGCCAGCTTCTTTTAGGTCAGTCCTGGAAAAAACTATCTCTTATTCACCTTACAGACTATGCGTTGAGAGCTCAGAGGTAGGCAAGCGGGGTCCGGGGGACACAGAGCAGTGGCGAGAGTCACAATGTGTATGACTGACCCTGTGCTTTGGATGTCACCTTTTGGAAACACGACAAGTGTTGAGCACCTCTCACAGGGTTTGTCTGGATGTCACACGTGTTGTGTTGCTCCCCCCTCACCCCCATCACTTATACACCAGCTGACGGTCCTGTGTGTTGTAACCTGAAGCCTCGTGGTCAGGAAGGCACCACTCTGCGGCCAGTTCCTGTGGCTGGCGGGACGGACCCTCGAGGGCCCTAGTAGCACTCACAGGGCTCTCTCTACCTTCTCTCTGGAAAGGGATCTGTCCTACATCAAGATCATGGACGTGGGACAGAGCTACGTGGTGAACCGTGTGGCTGACCACATCCAGAGCCGTATTGTATATTACCTCATGAACATCCATGTGACCCCCCGCTCCATCTACCTCTGCCGACATGGGGAGAGTGAGCTCAACCTCAAGGGTCGGATTGGCGGGGACCCAGGACTGTCCCCTCGGGGCAGGGAGGTCAGTGTGTGTGTGGAGGAGGGAGGGGCGGGTGGGTCAGTGTGTACATGCTCCCATATTAGGTTGGTGGTGCTCCAGCTCTTGTAGCTAATGTGTCATCAAGGTGGATGACCTTCATTCAGTCTGGAATGTTCCTGTCATTTAGGGAAAGTCACCAAGCACCAAGCTTGTATTTCTGGCTTCCATGCAAGTTGTCACCAGCTGAGCCCCTTTCTCTGGAAAGGCATGCCATTTTGGGAGTGATCCAAATTCCTACAGTGCAGCTGATGGCTGCACCACAGTCTAGGGGAGATATTGAGGCCACAGTTGGGGGTTATAAGGACTAGGACACATGGTCAGGAGGTGGGCAATGGCAGGGGACGTAATGATCCACAACGGGAACTACACAGAGGGTTCTGGAAAGAATGCATAAGAACAGCACTTAAGGACATGGGTATTCTTAAGAGATTAGTTCTCTGTGTTCTTGGAGGCTGGGCACAATGCCATGTGCCCTGTGGCTTCATGGTCCTTGGAGGGCAGCCTGGAATCTGTGAGTCTGAATTTGCTTATGATGCATTTCAGTTTGCCAAGAGTCTGGCCCAGTTCATCAGTGATCAGAACATCAAGGACTTGAAGGTGTGGACGAGCCAGATGAAGAGGACAATCCAGACAGCTGAGGCCCTGGGTGTGCCTTATGAACAGTGGAAGGTCCTCAACGAGATTGATGCGGTAATCCCCATCTCTCTCTTCCGTTGCCTGGGTCTCCTGGGCATGGCTGCGCTCAGCCAGGTTGACAGTGTTGAGGGTCAGGGAGAGCTTTCTCCTTAACTTTTCTTCATTTCTTAGGGTTTTGATTCCTCACTCCCTCCCTCTTTCCTTCCTTCCCTTCTTTTCAATTTAACTATGTAGACCAACTAGGATTTATTTTGATGTTCTAACATAGGCCTTAAATCTGATTTTTCCCCAGTTAACTCACTTACCTGTAACTATCTGTCTATCCTTGTCCTGTTGATTTATTTCACCTACTTTTATATTAGGTATGATTTACATATCTGTTCATGTACCGATAGCACACTATTTTAATTATGACAGTTTTTACTAGGTTTCTTGGCCATTTGAATATCTTTTGTGAGGTCTTCTGCTCTTTTTCTCCCCCTATAGGATTGTCTGCCTTTTTCTTATTAACTTTTAGGAGTTCTTCATGTATTTTGGATACAGTGCCTACCTGGTGATTTTTAAAAAAAAATTTTTTTTTTTTAATGTTTATTTATGTTTGAGACAGAGAGAGACAGAGCATGAACGGGGGAGGGGCAGAGAGAGAGGGAGACACAGAATCGGAAGCAGGCTCCAGGCTCTGAGCCGTCAGCCCAGAGCCCGACGCGGGGCTCGAACTCACAGACCGCAAGATCGTGACCTGAGCTGAAGTCGGATGCCCAACCGACTGAGCCACCCAGGCGCCCCGACCTGGTGATTTTTGATTGGGAGCTGGACATTTTGGATGAACAGTGTTGGAGATAAGTTAGGCTCAAGTTAATGTTATCTCTCTCTAGAGGATAAACTTTTACTTGGGGCAGGCAGTTGGGGTGGGTTACCTTAGTCTGCTCAGGAATAGAGCAGTTTCAAAGATGCTTTTTTTTTAAGTTTATTTATTTATTTTTGAGAGAGATAGTGTGTGTGTGTGTGTGTGTGTGTGTGTGTGTGTGTGTGTGCGTGCGCGCGCGCGCAAGCAGGAGAGGGACAGAGAGAGAGGGAGACATAGAGAATCCTAGGCAGGCTCCACGCTGTCAGTGTGGAACCCGACCTGGGGCTTGAACTCACAAACTGTGAGATCATGACCAGAGCCAAAATCAAGAGTGGGACGCTTAACTGACTGAGCCACCCAGGCACCCCCAAAGCTGTATTTTGATCTTTGTGGAGGCCACTCAACTCCCAGGTCTTCCTCCTTCTCCTATAACATAGCCTTTAAGATTCTGATGGAAAGACTTGTGGGCCCAACCTTTTTTTTTGTCCCTTCAGCCCAAGATTGCTGCCAGTTCTGCCAGGCTTGTGTCCACTCAGTCCCTATACTTCCTGCTTGGCTTCTCCTTCTCCCCACTATCCCTGGTTTTATTGAGATATAATTGGCATATAACATTGTAGTAGTTTTAGGTGTACAACATGATGATTTGGTATATGTGTATGTTTCAAAGGATTACTAAAATAAGTTAACATCTGTCATCTCCCATAGTTACACATTTTTTTCTTGTGATGATAACTTTTAAGATCTAATCTGTCAACAACTTACAAATAGACAATAGACTATTGTTAACTATAGTCACCGTGGTGTACATTATATTCCCCAAGACTTAATTATCTTATCACTGGAAGTTTGTACCTTTTTACTACCTTCACCCATCTCCCCCACCCCCCAGCTTCTCATCCTTTTAACTGCCACTTTCTTTTCTTTTTTTTTAATTTTTAAAAATGTTTTATTATTTATTTTTGAGAGAGAGAGAGACAGAGTGTGAGCGGGGGAGAGACAGAGAGAGAGGGAGATACAGAATCTGAAGCAGGCTCCAGGCTCTGAGCTGTCAGCATTGAGCCTGATGGCAGGGCTTGAACCCACGAACCTCGAGATCATGACCTGAGGCAAAGCCGGACGCTTAACCGACCGAGCCACCCAGGCGCCCCTAACTGCCATTTTCAAAGCAACAAAATGATGCCGTTAGCAGGTTTGCCTCTTTGGGCTTCCCTGTTCTCCAAGACCTTGGCCCCTCATGGCCCCTCTGCCTGGAGCTCTATGATAATATCAAACAAATATAAATTTTTTTCTATCTGGGTTTTCTAGTTGCTCTCCCTGGAGGGTTGGTCTAAACAAGCTAGTCCACTATTGCCTGAAGTGCAAGTTGGTAATGAGATCAGATTTGAATTGTAGAAGGGTCACCCCAGTGGGTGTAGAGAATGGTTTTGTTGTTGGGGTGAGGTAAAGGGGACAAGCTGGAGAAGCGAGACCGGTTAAAGGTGCTTACGGTGGCCTGGTTAGGTGATGACATCTGGAACTTGGCTGGCAGCAGTGCAAGAGAGAGAAGTGGATGGATTTGCAGGATGTTTATTCAGTTATTCACATATTTATGCAGGCCTACCCTGTGGTAAGAACTGGGACAGGTGCTGGGGACTGACATGTGGTGAAGTGATAGAAGCGATAACTGATGGGGCGCCTGGGTGGCTCAGTCGGTTGAGTGTCTGACCTCGGCTCAGGTCATAATCTCACAGTTCGTGAGTTCGAGCTCCGCAACAGGCTCTCTGCTGTCAGCACAGAGCTCACTTTGATCCTCTGTCCCCCTCTGTCTCTGGTCCTTCCACGCTCACTCTCTTTCTCTCAAAAATAAACATTGTTAACAACAACAAAAAGTGACAACTGAGTGGTGAGGTGAGAAGAAGACAGGCATCCAGGACAGTTCCGGGTTCCTGGCCACTGGGAAGGGTTCTGGGTCACAGGAGGACAGGAGCTGTGCCTACTTTGTTCACTACAGGGTAGGTGCTCAAAAAATATGTACTGAGTGAAAGGAGAAAATTTGGGGGAGAATTAGCGGGTGATCTCTTTAAAAGAGTAAGCACTTTTTGTAACCTATCTGGGAGCTCCCTTAACCATTCTGTAGGCTTCCATCACTGGTGGCTGCTGGGAGTCCTGGGAGGCCCACAGCCATCGCTGTCTTTGTCCCCCTGATGCAGCTTAGGTGCCAGTGTCTGCCCTCCAGGGACACGGATGTGGCTCCAACATTGGGTTTTGCAGAGAAGCCCTGGGCCACCCCAGTTTTTTTTCCATTGTAGTTAATCTGATTATTTTCCTAGATGCTGGTGGATTCTCTTCTTTTTCTTTCGAATTTTGAGACTGTTCCAATATCTGTGTGATCTGTTCATCATCTTTCTATGTTTATCTTTGTTCTTTTTGTGGGTTCTGGTAAACAGCCCTGGGCTAGTCTTCTATTTCAACATTGGGATTTTTTTCTTAGTTCAATCCACAATTCACGGCCTTATTTTTCCTTTTTAACAAATACCAGCTTTATAGGGGTGCCTGGGTGAGTTCGAGCCCCACATTGGGCTCCAAGCTGACAGCACAAAGCCTGCTTGGGGTTCTCTCACTCCCTCTCTCTGCCCCTCCCGTGCTCATGTTCTCTCTCTCTCTCAAATAAATAAAACTAAAAAGAAAATTAAAAAAAAAAATACCAGCTTTATAGAGAATTAATTCACATACCATACTGTTCATCTACCTAAAGTAGTTCAGTGATTTTTAGTGTATTCACCCAGTTGTGCAACCATCACCAATTGCAATCAATTTCAACATTCATTACTCCAAAAAGTAACCCTGACCCCCTGTCCCTGCATTTTCTTCCAACTCCTCCCTTCAGACCTAGACTACCACTCATCTATTTTGTGTCTCTGTGGACTGGCCTTGTGGGGATATTTCATGTAAATATGTGGCCTCTCTCTCTCATAAATAAACATTAAAAAAATTAAAAATTAAAAATAAGTAAAATGTTTTACTCATTTTTTGAGAGACAGAGACAGAGGGTGAAGGTGAGCGGGGGAGGGGCAGAGAGAGAGGGAGACACAGAATCCAAAGCAGGCTCCAGGCTCTGCACTGGGGCGGCACGGGATGGGGGGTTTGAACTCACTAACCGAGAGATCACGACCTGAGCCGTAGTCAGATGCTTAACTGACTGAGCCACCCAAGCACCCCCAGAATTGCTCTTAATGCCCGTATTTTTACCAAGAGTCTCATGGTTGCCAACAATCCTTGGCGTTCCTTAACTTCCAGCTGAGTCATCCCAATCTCTGTCCTCACATGGCCTTCTTGCCTGTGTGTGTGTCTCTGTGTCTTCACATGGTCTTCTTGAAAGGACATTAGTAAGTGCATTGAGACCCACCCTGGTGACCTCATCTATTTGGTTACATCTGCACAAGCCCTATTTCTAAGTAAGATCACACTGTCTGGCACCAGGAGTTAGGCCTTCAGCATATCTTTCAGTGGGGACACATTCGACTCAACAACAAAAGCCGGTTTGTCTTTCTAGGAATTTTCTTATTTCATGCAAGTTATCTAATTTGTTGGCACAGAGTTGTTGGTTAATAGTCCTTCAGAGCTTTTTTTTCTTTCTGTAAGCTTGATAGTAATGTTCTTCTTTCATTCCCGATTGTAGTAATTTGAGCTTTTTCTCTTGTCATTCTAGCTAAAGGCTTGTGAATTCTTTTGATCTTTTCAAAGAACCAATTTCTTTCTTTTTTTTTTAAATTTTTTAATGTTTATTTATTTCTGAGACAGAGACAGAGCATGAGTGGGGGAGGGGCAGAGAAAGAGGGAGACACAGAATCTGAAGCAGGCTCCAGGCTCTGAGCTGTCAGCACAGACCCCGATGCAGGGCTCGAACTCACAAACTGTGAGATCATGACCTGAGCCGAAGTTGGACGCTCAACCGACTGAGCCACCCAGGCGCCCCATCAAAGAACCAATTTCTAATTTCATTGCTTTTCTCCATCTTCTGTTTTCTAGTTAATTAATTTCTGCTCTGGTCTTTTTTAAAAAAAATGTTTATTTATTTTGAAAGAGAGAGGGAGAGTAGGGAAGAGGCAGGGAGAGAGAGAGAGAGAGAGAGAGAGAGAGAGAGAGAGAGAGAGAACCCCAAGCAGACTCCAAGCTGCCACTGTGGAGCCCAGCATGGGGCTTGAACTCAAACCATGAGATCATGACCTGAGCTGAATGGACGTTTAGCCAGCTGAGCCACCGGGTGCCCTGCTGTGATCTTTGTTACTTCCTTCCTTCTGTTTGCTTTGGGTTTACTTTGCTCTTCCTTTTTCCAGTCTCTTTAGATGGGAGATCAGATTATTGATTTGAGATCTTTATTCTTTAAAAAAAAAAAAAAGCTTATTTATTTTGAGAGAGAGCAGGGGAGGGGCAGAGAGAGAGGGGGTGAGAGAAAATCCCAAGCAGGCTCAGTGCTGTCAGCATGGAGCCCAACATGGGGCTCAATCCCACAAACAGTGAGATCATGACCTGAGTTGAAATCAAGAGATTGATGTTCAACCGACTGAGCCACCCAGGTACCTCAAGATCTTTCTTCTTTTTTGATACAGACATTTATTTTTTATTTTTAAATGTTTACTTATTATTTGGGGAGAGAGACAAAGAGCGCACGCATGCAAAAGGGGAGGGGGCAGAGAAGGAGAGAGAATCCCAAGCAGACTCCATGCTCAGTGCAGAGCCCCATGTAGGGCTTGATCCCATGACTGCAAGATCACGACCTGAGCTAATATCAAGAGTTGGACGCTCAATCTACTGAGCCACCCAGGCACCCCTTGATACAGATGTTTACAACTGTAAATTTTCCTCTTGCTCTGTACTTTTTTATTTTTTTATTTTATTTTTTTTAATTTTTTAACGTTTATTCATTTTTGAGACAGAGAGAGACAGAGCATGAATGGGGGAAGGTCAGAGAGAGAGGGAGACACAGAATCTGAAACAGGCTCCAGGCTCTGAGCTGTCAGCACAGAGCCCGACGTGGGGCTCGAACTCACGGACCGCGAGATCATGACCTGAGCCAAAGTTGGACGCCCAACCGACTGAGCCACCCAGGCACCCCGGTCTGTACTTTTTTAATAGACAACTTAGAACAAAGGCAGAGATCAGCAGCTCTTTTTTTTTTTTTTTTTTAATGTTTATTTATTTTTGAGAGAGAGAAAGAGCACAAGTGAGGGGAGGGGCAGAGAGGAGACACAGAATCTGAAGCAGGCTCCAGGCCCCAAGTGGTCAGCACAGAGCCCATCTCGAGTCTCGAACCCATGAACTATGAGATCATGACCTGAGCTGAAGTTGGACACTCAACTGACTAAGCCACTCAGGCGCCCCTCAGTAGCTTTTTATTAGGGCATTTTATTACTTCCTCTCTCAGTACCCTTAAATCACACTTTGGTGTTCTCAACCAGTGTTCTTCTTTGATGGATTTTTAAAAAATAGCATTTGTAGGGGTGCCTGGGTGGCTCAGTCAGTTATGCGTCTGACTTCAGCTCAGGTCATGATCTCATGGTTAGCCCCATGTCAGGCTCTGTGCTGACAGCTCGGAGCCTGGAGCCTGCTTTGGATTCTGTTTCCTTCACTCTCTGCCCCTCCCCCACTCACACTCTGTCTCTCTCTCTCTCAAAAATAAACATTAAAAGAAAAATAGCATTTGTATAAGGTAATCTATGCTACGTGTGAGTGTGTGTGTATCCTGAAGAGACACAAGTTGCTTTATAACTTGTACAACAATCCATACTTAGAGTATTTCTATAGCACAGAAAACAAAAGACACAAGAAAAGACACATAGTTAACATTCTGTGTTATTTATTTATTTGATTTCAATGTTTATTTTTTTATTTTAATTTATTTTAATGTTTATTTATTTTTGAGAGAGACAGAGACAGAGACAGAACATGAGTTGGGGAGGGACAGAGAGAGACAGAGACACAGAATCTGAAGCAGGCTCCAGGCTCTGAGCTGTCAGCACAGAGCCTGATGTGGGGCTCGAACTCACTAGCCATGAGATCATGACCTGAGCCGAAGTCTGACGCTCAGCTGACTGAGCCACCTAAGCATCCCTCTGTATTTATTTTTATGGCATAAACTGGATGGATGGAAAAGACTGTCCTGGTAGCTCTTTACAAACCAGAAGCTGCCCCCTTTGCTCAGTGGTCCCACGGACCTAGTCTTCCCAGATGCATTCTAAGTTCCGGGCTGGGAGGGCCCCCATGACCCAGGAAATACCCTGTAAACCTGATCCCCTCTGCCTGCCCTCCCCCCGACACAGGGCTGATCCCCGGGCCTGGCATGGGAGGTGTGATGACCGCGGTGTCTCCCTAGGGCGTCTGTGAGGAAATGACTTACGAGGAAATTCAGGATCATTATCCACTGGAGTTTGCCCTGCGGGACCAGGACAAGTACCGGTACCGGTACCCCAAGGGGGAGGTAGGTGGGATTTGGGGGCGTAGCCACCTGCCGTCTGCCCCAGGACCACTGGGGGGTGCTCTGTGGAGGCTGTGTGGGCGGTAGGTGGGGTCTGACCTCAGAGCTTGGCCAGGCTGGGTGTGCATGTCATCTCATCACCTCCCAGCCATGGGGTCCAGGCCACGCAGTCCCTGCCCGCCTTGGACAGTGGATGGACAGTGCTGCACGGGACTCCCACCTCTCAGACTCTGGATCCCTGCTTCCCAGTGTTCCCTACCTTTGCCTTTTTCCCTTCCCCAGGGTATCACAGGGATTGTGTCCTCCCTGTGACTCCAGACACAGGCCCCCGAATGCAGACATAGGGAGACCTTCCCCAGTTGAGTCGTGACCACTACAAGCCATGTGCTCTCATCTCCTTCCCTCAGGCTGGCTCCTGCTTCAGCCCAGGCCCCAGGTCAGAAATAGGTGGCCTTTGACTCCAGTATCTCCTACTTCCAGAGGTGGCCTAGGGCGGTGGCCAAATAAAGATACCACTACAGACACACAAGTGTATGCATACTTACACGTACACATGCGGAAGTCCCCATCCCCACCCCAGAGTCCAGACTCTGGGCCCCTTTGCTGTACTGTCTTCGGGAAAAGCACAGCTCTGGGTAGCATTACTTTTTTCCTGTTGTACTATGAGGCAGAGCTCAGATTTAAAACTAACCCAGATAACAGTAAAAAGGAGTAAAGCAGCTGGCTGTTCAGACTTGAGAATACAGGAAAATAGCAGTTACCAAAAGGACTGATCTAGGATTCCTCCAGAACTACAAGGCATTGCTCTCAGTCAGAGCGTGGAGGCACATTCAGCTCCCAGCTGGAGACATTTGTTTTGCTGGTTGTGTGCAAAGAGGACTCGGTCTCCTGGTGGAAATCTCTAAACCTCATGGCTGAGGGATTGGTCTAAGGTGTCCCTTGTCAGCTACCTCCCAGCACCCAGGGGAGGCACAGGGCAGGGAGACTGCCAGGATCATTGTTCCTGGCCCCTTAGGCATGCAGACAGGTCTTGTTCCAGGAAGTTTGGGGAGCCATTATTGCCCCTGCCCCCACAGCTCTTTCTGTGCACTCCACCTACTGTGGGCTGGAAGGGCACAGTGCCTCCTACCAGTCCTCAGTTGCCAGCATGTGAGTTCCAGCAGTGGAGGGTTCAGCCAAGGGCCCTGTAGGTGAGCACAGAGGTGGCCCCTTAGGATGGCAGCCTGAGGCCCAGCCCTGCCCTCTAGTCCTCCGGGGACCTGGCCTGGGGTGGAGGACGCAATCCCTTTCCCAGGCTGCCCATCTTTCTCCCCTCCCAGCTCCCCTCTCAAACTGGACATCTCACTGTCCTAGAGGGTCCCCAGGGGCCAGGCTAGAGGATACCAGGCTGCAACCTCCCAGAATGGTGAGCATCCTAGGAGCGAGGAGGTAGCTGGTACCCAGGATGTCTCCATCACTTACCCCTGGAGCAGGGCCTGAGGGACCCTTCCCACTTGCACTTGCAGTCTTACGAGGACCTGGTCCAGCGGCTCGAGCCTGTCATCATGGAGCTGGAGAGGCAAGAGAATGTGCTGGTCATCTGCCACCAGGCTGTGATGCGCTGCCTCCTGGCCTACTTCCTGGATAAGGCCGCAGGTGCGGGCCGGGCCCCCAGGGAGGTGGGATGTGTGTATGTGAGAGAGACAGTGGGACTGTCGTGTGGGCGTCCCTGGCATGCCAGCCCTCCCCATCTGTGTCCACAGAACAGCTGCCCTACCTCAAGTGTCCACTGCACACCGTCCTGAAGCTGACCCCTGTGGCTTACGGTAAGGAAGCTTCTTGCACACTGACATGGTTGCCAGATGCTGGCTTTCCACAGGGTTCCACGATTTTGCTGCAGATCCCTTGAAAATTCCTTTAGGGACTCATTCTTCCTCTGCCCACTCCACTACCTTTCCCAACTTACCTTTTTTTTTTTTTTTTTAAGGAAGCTCTATACCCAGTGTGGGGCTCAAACTCACAACCCCGAGATCAAGAGTCACATGCTCTACCAACTGAGCCAGTCAGAGAGGCACCCCTCCCAATTTATAATTTTTAGTTGTTGTTTTTTTATTTTCTGTTTGTTTGTTTGTTTGTTTGTTTTTAACTTCTGTGGCCACTGGTGCCTTTCCAGTGATCCTCAACCATCACCAACCCACATGAGGGGCTTTTCTACTGGTTTTTCTGAAACCCCCGTAAAGCCCCAAAGCCTCTAGGACCTGGGCCTTAAAATATTCTGGGTGCAGGGCCTGAGCTCCTGGGTCTCAGCTCCTCACTTTCAACACAGGCCATGAGGCACCCCTCAGGTGGTCGTGTCCTCCGGAGAATGACCGTAAAGCCTAGTGGCAGCTGATGTCATTCCCGTGTGTGCTCATCCCCTCACCCCCATTGCATTGAACGCCTGGCCTATCGGGCTTGTGTTTGTAGTGTGCTTGGGCTGTAAGTGGTTTGGCGGCTCTGAAGACTCACAGAATGACTCTATGCCGAGCTCAGGCCCGCCACTCAGACTGCCCTCCGCCCCGCCAGTGGGCAGCTTGGGTCCTCGGTGTAGCTCTGCCTGGGTGTTTGGGCTCCTCACCAAGGCTGCGCTGTGGCACGTGATAAATGTGGGCCTGACTGGGTACCTCATCCTTCCTCACATGCTCTGCAGAGCTGCCTAATGTGAGAGGACCAGGACGAGGCAGAGGATGGCTGTCTAGTCTATCATACCCCAGGCCTCGATCTGAGAGACGTTTCTACCCTCTGTGGCTCCAGCGGCCTTCCAGGAGGGGAAATGGATTTCCATCTTCCCTTTGGCAGGTTGTAAAGTGGAGTCGATATTCCTGAACGTGATGGCTGTGAATACGCACCGGGACAGGCCTCAGGTAGCAACGGGGTCACTGCTGTGGGGGCGAGCACATTCCTGGGGGTATCCAGGCACAGCATCTTCAAGGCCCAGAGCCAACTGGGGTGCCTGCCAGAGTGAGCTGGAGTTCTCTGCCAAAGCTGCTGTCTTATCACCAGGGCGAGGTCATGGCTCTGGGCTAGGCCTTCCCGAGGATGCTGGCCTGGGGGTGGAGAAATCCCTGGAGCTGGGTCCCCAGGCTAGGCAGTGCCTGAGTCTGGGTGTGGTGGCTTCTTCCCAGCAGACCTACCATAGCGGTCTGAGCCAGGGGGTGGGGGATCCCAGCTGGGAAAGAAGCAAGAGGCCCTACTAGGGGGCATGTGGGGATCGTTCCATGTTCCCCTACAAGCTCAGGCCTCACGAGCATCTTTTCCAACTTGAGCACACCTTTAACAATTAAAGTGGTATTGTGCTTTGTTGCAGAAAGGGCCGTGCAGGTACTGAGAGGGTGTTGGCACTGGACAGAGACTGTCATGCAGAAGAGCAGTTCACTATCCTGTGTTCCCCCAGTGCCTTGTTTAAGATAGAAGCTCCTCAAAGTTTTGCCCAGAACCACTTTCTATGTCCACGTGAGGTCTCTCTTTCACTGAGGCCAAGGGCCGGAGTTGCCCTTCTGGACCTCATTCACAAGGTCTACTGCAGCAAGAAGGCCTCTGGGGCCTCTGTTGTGCCTGCTGCCACCTACAGTGGAGCATGGGGGGCTCTGGGTCCCTATCAAAGGTGCAAGCCTTGGGCTGCTCACCTGCCACCCCTTGACCTTGAACCCCACTGGCAGAGATATGTGCATGTTCTTAAGACTGCTGCCCATCACTGGGACCATCTACCGTGTAGGCCACTTCTCTATTTGTCCTGAGAGTCTGCCCCAGGCCTAGCCTGGCACCCACAGGTCACAGGAGAAGGCATGTCCTAACAGGCACCCTTTGTGCGGAAGAAAGCCCAGAAGGCACTGGGCCCCAGTACTGACTGACAGGGTGATGGTTGGTGATGGTAAGAGAAGCCCCTGGAGCCAGCAGTCATTGGGGGCTGATGCCCGCATCAACGGGACAGGAGCCGGCATGACCATGGGGTAGGTCGCAGCCACCTTGCCCACCTCTGCGTGGTGGCTTCTGAGAGGCAAACTTCTGCTGGCCATAGGTTCCTGGCTGGTTTCCTTTCAGGTGGCGGGATCCCTGGGTCCTAGCCCATTCTTGGGAATGTGATGGGAAAGGGGGCCCTCGGGAAGCCTGCCCCACCCACCATGAGAATTGCACCTGCCCCTCCAATTCCAGTGGCTGGTTCAGGGCACGCACAGGTGTGCCCGTGGGGGCAGTGTCTTCCTCCCTGCAGATCCGGGCACATCACATCACATGGGGCTGTGGCCCAACGTGACCTGCTTCAGCAGGTGATGGTTGCAAGGGCCCCCAATCAAGAAGATGGGCCACCAGGATTTGGGGGTCCCATAGGACCATCTCAGGGAGCTGAGGAAGGTGTCAGGCTCTCAATCCCTTAGGCCACAGCTCAGCAAGCTGTGGAAGGAAGTGGACTTTGTGGTTTGACAGGGCCCATCTGTAGCTGAGGGCTTCAGGAGGTCCAGAGTGCCCCACCCCAGGTCTGAGAGGACAAAGCACGCCACAGACTACGAGATGTCCACAAGCTGCTGGGGCTACATCTGACACCTGTCCACCGACACTTCGAGCCAGGAGGAGGTCGCCCCCAGGAGCCAGTTCCCTTCCCTGCCCCCCACTGGCAAGGATGCAAGCCAGCTGTTTCCTCCTGGTTGACTCAGGCCTGGGGCAGGAGGTGGAGATAGCCTTACTTTGGGTGATGCCCGGCCTGTGTGCAAGGAGCAAGCAGGAACTGGGGGCATCTTCCACCCCTGCCTTTGAACCCTTGTGTTCGTCCGCCCACCATATGTTGAGAGGCTCTTGGGCCCTTGCTCTTAGGGAAATTTGGGGAACGGAGTCCTGCAGCCAGGGCTCCTGGGGGGTGAGTATGTGAACCCAGAGGTGCACAGTGATGAGGAAAGTAGGCAGCAGGACAGTGGGTGTCTGTCTATTCTCACCACAGCGTGAATCTTCTGTGTTGTTTGTTTTGCAGAATGTAGATATCTCGAGGCCTCCAGAGGAAGCCCTCGTCACGGTCCCTGCTCACCAGTGACCATGTCTCATCCACTGCGACCCCCAGGCAGGTACTGATCTCTGCAAATGAGATCATTACAGGCCCCTGCTCCATGTGACAGTTTCTATGCTGGATCATCCTCAACGCCACACCTGGTTGGTGGCACCCAGAGCCCCCGCACCAGCCCACCTGCTTCCTTGTTAATGGCGACAGGGTTATACGTGGTGCCTGACCTGCTGCTAAGAATCATTTGGCCAGACTGCGTCTGCCCTGGGCTGGTGAGAGGTTTCCTAGCAACCCGGTCCTTCTGTTGCAGCTGTGAGGTGTCCTCTCACCGGTCGGTTGGCTTTGTGAAGTGTGAAGCCCTAAACATGTGAACAGAAAGCACTTGCTGTGACGATCCCACCACGGCCGAGCTGTCTGAGGTGGACAGGGGGGGGCCCCTGCAGGGGCTCCGCCGTCTCCTCTGTGGCCACTTCCTGAGCCTGAGGCAAGGTCTTCATGGCAGCCTGAGCTCCACTGCCTTGGGTGAGAAAGAGCCCTTCCCATCCTGCCCTGCCAGGACCCGTAGAGCCACCAAGGCAGGTACCTCCACTGGCCAGGCCACTTGTATGAGCAGTGTGCTCACTTCACCACGACATGATGTACAGAACACGCAGGGAACACAGCCTTTGTGGTCACCGCTTCTCAATTGTGCACACACTGGAACATTGGCGAGAGCTGATGGCCAAGGCCACCCCTGCCCACCTGCTGCACAGTGAAAGCACGTAAAGACAGGGTGGTTGTGTGAGTTCTTCCCAGTGTACACCCAGGTGCTTGAGGGAGGGGCTGCTGTCCCCCTCCCCTCCTGGCCCTGCCTGCTAGGCTACCTCTTGCCTGTTGCCGCCTGTGTCCACACGGGAGTGTACCCCGGTGGCCGAGACATGCATTTGCTGTGAACGATTCAGAGAAAAAAAAGCCTGTCCTGGCATTCATTGACCTCTGCCCGTGGGACTGAGCCGGGGAAAGGGCGGACTCCTGAGGCACCCTGTCCAGGGGAGGATTTGCTCAGCCATATCGTAGCTTTTGATTCACGTGTATGGGAGCATGGCAGAAAACGACCTCAGAAGGCTACCATCTGTCACGCCCCTGAGTTCTTTTGAGCCCAGAGAGGCAGGCTGGGCAGTGGGTTTGGGCTCCATTTTATAGCTGAGCAGGAGACCTGTCCAGCAAGTCACAAGGCTGGGTGAGGAGGTGTCTGGACCTGTAGTCGGACGCCCCACCGTCCACAGGACCCAGGATCCCGAGCCCACCTTGTACCTGGAACCTTCCTTGGCAGAACAACCCACGTTTCCCAGCCTTCCGGGGCTTTGCAGCCTGCAGGTGCCACCTGTCCCTGAGGGAAGTTCATGTCCCTGCCCCAGCTGGCGGTCTGTCAGCCTTGGGTGCTGCAGTGGCTGTGGACAGACACGGTGGAGGGCTGGGGCAAGATCTTCTGGACTTACCTCCTGCCAGAGCCCCAAGCCCTAGACTCAGGACCAGGGGACCATGCCACTGCCTTTGGGACATGAGGACCACAGCCTTTGTTTCTGTGTCCCCAGAGTCTTGGGTGACTCGGTCACTTGGACACACTCACTTTTTGGCCATAATGGGTCTCTTTTGTTGGTGGCACCTACGTCTGGATGTCCCCACTTCGCCAGGACCTCGAACTGGCTGAGGCATGACCAGTGAGGCCTTTTCTCTGTGCCCAGAGGGCAGTCAGGAGCTGCCGGGCCCAAAGTGTCACAGGGCCTGGGATAAGGCAGAAGGAAGCCTGGGGGCATGGTGTGGGTTGGGGCCTTTCCTCTCTGCCTCTGCCCTGGAGTGGTCTCTGCATGGTCAGCAACCCACTGGGTTGGCCACTGGTTCTATCCATGATGGTGGATGTGCTTGTGTTGAAGACACTTTCCCGTTCTTTTCAGAATGGAGGTTGTTGGATCTCAGCCACACATTACACTGTGTCTAGCATTCTTTGCAATAAATACTTTCTCTAAAAAAATTGGGCACCTGACTGGCTCAGTTGGTAGAGTGTGCAGCTGTATCTCGGGGCCGTGAATTCGAGCCCCATGTTGGGCCTAGAGCTTACTTTAAAAAAAAATAAAATATATAAGAATCTAAGGTTGTATCTTGTGACCATCTCTCCATTTGTGAGGTATTTCTGGCTGGCTCTGCACACTCCCATGTTGTAGTCTCTCGTAGGTCTGTGTTGGGGTCCTTGGTCCAGCTCCTACCTCCATGCCTACCCCTCTCTGGAGAGGAAACTGTCTTGCCCTGGAGTGTGCCCTGGGCCTGGTGCACATGGGCAGGGACAGGGCCGAGTTTTCTCTGGGCCAACCTAGGGTTCTGGGTGCTCATCCCCGAGCAGGAAGCAGATGTGTGAGGGAGCATTTGGAGCAGAGCACCAATGAGGGGAAATTATGGATCTCAAATGTTGGCATCCCTGGAGAGGGGAACCAGGGGCCGGATGGAGGATGGACGGAAGGTCTGCATGAGGCTGTGGGTGGGGGCGTGTTGGCTAGTTCTGTTGTGTTTTCTTTGTCACCTACCTCTGGATTGGGGAAGATGAGATGAGGGGCAGGGTTTTCCCTTTCTTGTGCCCCAGAAAATCACTGGACTTTCCATACCTCTCGCCCTGGGGCTGGGCTGTTGGGAGGGCAGGGCTGCTCTTCAGTGGACATGATGGGGCTGGACATGGCTGGGTGCCCATCTGCACCTCTCTCGGTGTGTCAGGTTGGAGGTGGCTGTGGCTGGGCTGTTTCTGAGTGGTTTGGTGTTGCCAGTGGCTATGGCTGTGCCTTACCCAGCTGTGTCATGATGGATGACAAAACCCCCTGGGCATCATCCCCGAGTTCAGAGGGATTCCAGCTGCAACGGTCCTCCTGGTAGGTGAAATTAGGAGACAGCTTGATGGTCCTCACCCTGTCTCTGGGCACTGAGTTCCTGGGTGGACACCTGACCTGAGAGGCCTCAGCACTTCTGGAAGAAGGTGTTAAAGATTTTTAGCAACAAAGCAACAGCAGAAGGAATGAGATTTAACACTATGAGAATTTTTCTTCTGGTCCAGTGTTCTACCACAACCTAGAAAGAGCAATTATATATTGTCATGTTGAGAAATTTTGTAGCATTTTGGATTGCTAGAAAACAATGACCATGATTGGATGTTAAGATCAAGCGTATTTGGATAGAAAGAAATGTTGCAAAGATATAGGTTTCAGCAATATTTGAATTATATTTATAATATAATAATCATATACTATATATTAATAAATTAAAATACAATTATCATCAGCAAAGGGGAGTGTTGGCATGTATGGCTTAAACCAATCATGTGTGGGGCGGGGCACATTGTTGTTTGAGCAAAACCTTTTTTCTTTAAGTAATTTATTCATTCATTTATTTATTTATTTTGAGAGGGAGAGAGAGAGCATGAGTGGAGGAGGGGCAGAGAGAGAGAGGGAGAGAACGAGAATCCCAAGCAGGCTCTGTGCTGTCAGTGCAAAGCTCATGTAGGTCCTGATCTCACAAATTGTGAGATCATGACCTAAACTGAAATCAAGAGTTAGATGCTTAACTGACTGAGCCATCCGGCACCACTGAACAAAACTATTTATTTATTTATTTTTTTTTTTTTAATTTTTTTTTTTTCAACGTTTATTTATTTTTGGGACAGAGAGAGACAGAGCATGAACGGGGGAGGAGCAGAGAGAGAGGGAGACACAGAATCGGAAACAGGCTCCAGGCTCTGAGCCGTCAGCCCAGAGCCCGACGCGGGGCTCGAACTCACGGACCGTGAGATCGTGACCTGGTTGAAGTCGGACGCTTAACCGACTGCGCCACCCAGGCGCCCCTGAACAAAACTATTTATTAAAAGTGAAAGATGGGGAGCATATGGCTCTTGACCTTGGGGTCATGAGTTCAAGCTCCACATGGAGCATAGAGATTACTTTAAAAAAAAGAAAATGGGGGCACCTACGTGGCTCAGTGGGTTAAACATCGACTCTTGATTTCAGCTCAGGTCATGATCTCACAGTTTGTGAGATCAAGCCCCAAGTCGGGCTCTTCGCCAACAGCGCAGAACCTGCTTGGGATTCTCTATCTCCCTTTCTCTGCCCCTCCCCTTCTCTCTCTCACTCTCAAAAATAAAAGAAAGAGAAAAGAAAAGAAAAGAAACATGGCTTTGGGGTAGACTAGAACTCATGTCGGCCACACCCTAGTTAATGGCCACAAGTCCCTTTGGGAAGGACTGTGAAGAAAGTGCCAGCATGAACCTGTAACATTTGCACAGGGCCCTCCTTCCTTAAAGGGCACCCACCCTACTTCCTTCAGGGACCCCTGAGTTTATGAACTGATTTTACCTAGAACGTTGGAGAAAAAAAAATCCTCTCTGTTGCAGGCAGGTCTCTGTTGGTCTGACCTCTGGTCCTTTTATTACACACATCAAGGAGGACTCTATGGGCCTCCCTGTCGGTTTTGGTCCTAGAGGCCTGGTAATCCTGGCAAAGATCCTTTCAGGCCAGGTCTTTCAGATGACCACTAAGTCTCCTGCATGTCATGGTCTCTGTACCTCTCTCTCCTCTGGCAGCTCAAGGCTGCTACTTGTCTCTCAGTGCCCAGGGTCCTGGTATCTGCATTGAAATCAAGGAGTCATCTCAATTACGGTGTCTCCAGTCAGAATCCCTGACCCATGGAGGACAGTGACTACGGTGCTTGTTAAGTAAAGGTTGAATTGTGTCCCCCCACAAAACAATTCATACACTGAAGACCTAAGCCTTGTACCTCACAATGTGACCTTATATAGAAATAGCATCACTTTTCAAAGATGATGTCCTTGGCAGTGAACTTCTAAATGATGGTAAAGGGAGTATCTCTGAGTGAGTTGTCTGATGAACTCAGCCCAACATTGGATTTCAGTGAATGAATGAATCTTCCAAAGGTTTTGGATTCTTTCTTCTACATTATACCAGGGGGCTTTGGACATCTCTGTTGCATTTAGGGAGACTCTGCTGTCTTCCAGCCAACTGGATAGACACACAGAACAAGCCTTAGTGGCTTAAGCCAGCACACTGAATCCAAAATTTCTGTCCAGTGTACCTGTACCAATAAATTCAGCCCAATCTAAACTTAGGTTCTTGGGGCGCCTGGGTGGCGCAGTCGGTTAAGCGTCCGACTTCAGCCAGGTCACGATCTCGCGGTCTGTGAGTTCGAGCCCCGCGTCAGGCTCTGGGCTGATGGCTCAGAGCCTGGAGCCTGTTTCCGATTCTGAGTCTCCCTCTCTCTCTGCCCCTCCCCCGTTCATGCTCTGTCTCTCTCTGTCCCAAAAATAAATAAACGTTGAAAAAAAAATAAATAAAATAAACTTATGTTCTTATCTCCTGGGTCTAGGACCTCAATCTTTCCTCACACATATTCTCCACATTGTGACCAAGGTAACTTAACAAAAGTCTTACAGTTCCTTTGATACATAAGCCTTCCCCTCTGCGTTTTACTTTGTAATAAGATCTCCAGACATGCTGGAATCCATCTTTTTTTTTTTTAATATTTTATTATTTTTTCCTTAATATTTTATTTTTCAGTAATCTCTGTACCCAATTTGGAGTTCAAACACACAACCCTGAGATCAAGAGTCACATGCTCCACCGACTGAACCCACCTGGCACCCCACTGGAATGCATCTTTAGTTTAAGGCACTGGGGTTATTGAGGAGTTTGGGAAGAGGGGAAGGAGAAGAGTTGGCTTCCCCTTGCAAACGATAATGTTTCCTCTGAGTTCATTCATAGATCTTCATCCTGTGTAATTTGTTAACAGGTGAAGTGCCTACTGTGGGCTAAGCTGTGGAGACAGAGCAGTAAGCCCGACAGGCAAACTCCTGATGTCACAGAACTGCTGTGGGAGACACAGTACAGAAATACATAAGGATGTAATTCCTCCCAGGGCGCTGGGACAGAGGGGAGGGTGTGGGAGGGCATGTAAGAAGGCCTCACTGAGAAGGTGGCCAAAAGGCCTGGATGAAGCCGTGGAGTGGATGGCTACAGAAGCCAGAGTGAAAAAGAGGAAGGCCAGGTCAGAGGTCATGGGGTACAGGTGATATGGGGCCTTGGAAATAGGAGGCCCTTGAAGGCCTTTGAGCCAAGTGACTTGATCCGATGAACATTTTTTTTTTAATGTTTATTTATTTTTGAGAGAGAGAGAGAGAGAGACAGAGCATGAGTGAGGGAGGGACAGAGAGAGAGGGAGACAGAATCCGAAGCAGGCTCCAGGCTCTGAGCTGTCAGCACAGAGCCCGATGCGGGGCTCGAACTCACAGACTGTGAGATCATGACCTGAGCTGAAGTCAGACTCTCAACCGACTGAGGCCACTCAGGCGCCCCATCAATGAACATTTTTAAAGGGTCCCTCTGGCTGCTGCTGCCTCTAGAATAGACTTCAGTGGGGCAGAGTGGAGGTCAAGAGACCTGTCTGGAGCCACTGTGACAATCCGGGTGAGAGACCTTGATGCTGGCATTGGGGCTGCTGAGAAGTAGTCGGATTCTGCCTAAATTGTGAAGGTAGAGCCAGGATTGGCTGCTGGTGTGGATGAAGGCCTATGAGAAAGATATGGTGCCCAGGGGTGGGGTCACCACTGTGGACATATGGAAGTCTGCATGGGGCAGTTCAGCTGAAGGCGCATTCAGATTAAATGCCAGCTGGAGATCTAAGTGGAGGTGTGACAGGAGTTGGATCTTGAAGTCTGGAGTTGAGGCCTGGGCTGGAGATAAGAAATGACATCATCCGTGTGTAGACGGTGCTTAGAGCCGTGACACTGGATGAGCTCTCAAGGGGAATATAAATAGAGAAGAAATGGCACCTGAGGACCAAGCCCTAGGGACTCCACATTACGAGCGTGACATGAAGAGCCAGCAGACGGTGTGAGAAGGAGCAGTGTGGGGAGCGTGGGGGAGCCGGGAGTGGCCCACTGTGTCAGGTGATGCTCATGGGTCAAGGAAGGTAAGAAGGCCAGTGGATGTGGGCCTGCGAAGTATTTCCCAGTGTTGCTGCACACTCTCGGTGCTCTGTCCTGAGCAGTGCCTGGCTTTCACATTAAAGATTTAGGGAGGCTGTGAATTCCCTCAGCATTTCACCTGGAAGCCATAGAATCTGCCTATGGGTTTGATAATGGGCTGTCTCAGCCCCATGGCTGCAAGAGATAGGAGACTCCTTTGCAAAGCAGAGAAAGTTTAAAAAAATTTTTTTAATGTAAATGTTTATTTATTTTTGAGAGAGAGAGAGAGAGAGTGCGCGTGAGCCTGAGCAGGGGTGGGGCAGAGAGAGAGGGAGACAGAGGATTTGAAGCAGGCTCTGTGTTGACAGCAGAGAACCTGACACAGGGCTCGAACTCATGAACCACGAGATCATGACTTGAATGCTTAACTGACTGAGCACCCCCCAGGCACCTGGAGAAAGTTTTCCATTTGTGCTTGGACACACAGCAGCTGGGAATCTGACCCTGTTGTTCTCTTTAAGCTGCTTAGATGCTGTTAAAAGCAACCACCTGGCAGCAGTCAGTGCATTTCTCAGGACCTTCATGTTTTAAGGTGAAGCCCTTGGCCTTCCAAAGCCCGAGTATCAATGGATTCCTCACCTGAGGGGCTACCCGTGGTGTCTTGTTTTCTGATGCCACTTGGGACACTAAATTTTGTGGGGTTTTTCACACCAATAACTAATTCTCTGATTCTCCCACACCAACTAGGTGTCCAACAATTCAATCCAATTTGGACACCAACCCTTGAATTAGTGCAGACCCCACAGGTTAAGGGCTCAGTCCCACAAGACTGACCCTACTTCAGGTGCTGGTCCCAAGTCCCAAGAGGGCCACCCATAACTTCTGATCAACTGGCTATAAATCAGGTCTAAGCCCCCTCCTCAGATTCAATAACTTGCTGGAATGACTCCTAGAACTCAGGGAAACACTTTATTTACATTTAAAAAAGATGCAATTCAGGAACCACCAAAAGGAAGAAATGTATAGAATGAGGTACTGGGGAGAGGGAGAGGGTGGCGTGGAGTTTCCAGGATAACCAGGGCTGTTGCCTTCCTAGCACATCAGTGCGTTCACTAATCTGGAAATTCCCAGAACTCCACTATGTAGGGGGTTTTACGGAGGTTTCATTACAGAAGCACCATTAATTAAATCACCGGCCTTTCCAAGTTTAAGGACAAGTGTAGAAGTGGGGTACTGGGAGACCTTACCTTCAAAAACCCTAGAAACCAAGTTACATAGATCATAAAATACTTGGATTAGAATTTTAAAAATAATGTCTTGACTTTAAAACTTTATTTAAAAAAAATTTTATGTTTGTTTGTTTATTTATTTAGAGAGCAAGCCGGGGAGGGGCAGAGAGAGAGAGAGAGAGAAATCCCGAGCTGGCTCTGCACTGTCAGCACAGAGCCCGACACAGGGCTTGAACTCACAAACTGCGAGATCATGACCTGAGCTGAAACCAAGAGTCAAGAGCCAAATGAAGAGATGCTTAACCAACCGAGCCACCCAGGCGCCCCTAAAACTTTATATTTGAAAGGAAAGAAAATTTGATATTGCTGGTGTTGATTATAAAAAAAAAAAAACAAAAAACCATTGGCCCCTGGTTGATAGAAGTGAATCTCCAACCCCCACCTCCCCGGTTCGGGCTGAAAGTTCCTACCCTCTATTCATGGCTTGGTCTTTATGGTGACCTGCCCCCATCCAGAACCTTTCTAAAGGGTTTGGCTTTCCCCGGCCGGGAGTCTTATTAGCATACGAAAGACAGCAAATCCAAGTATTTTTAGGAGCTCTGGTGCCAGGAAGCAGGGACTAAGAACACGTATTTTTTATTACACCACACCCCCAGCGGTGGCTTCAGGCTGCCAGGTTCGCTAGAGCCTTCATCCTAGCTGGGTTTCCACTGCCTTCAGCTCCTACCAGACAAATGTCCAGTCCGGACCCACCTCTATTTCCCCGCAGCACCTTCTGCCATTCCTGGTGACAACATCTCTATCACTTGCAGGAAACGGACTCTGCCCGACCTAATCAGAAACAGAATTTGTGAAAAGGAACTTGTGTAGCTTCCAGAGCCACCGAGGGGGCCGGAGGACAAGACTCAGAGCCGGACAGCTCGTTTCCAGTCCAAACCTCCGTCCTGCTCTGGCCTGCTGAGCAAGCCACCACCACTGCCACCGCAGGATCCTCACCGTAGCCCAGACACTGCAGGATCCTCACATAGCCCAGACACTTCGAGCCCTGAGCCTCGAAGGAGGCTCTCTGTTGTCCAGACGTGGCAGCCAGCCCCCCAGCGAACTCCTGGGAGGGTACGTCTGATTGGCTGGGCCTGGACAAAGGCCCTTGCCCTGGGGCGAAGGACAGCGAGCCAGTGAGTCTCTGGCATTTCTGCCTTCTCGAGTGGAAGAAAGGGGCCCAGGTGCTGGGTGAAGAGGAATGGCAGGGGCCTCTACTTTAGCATTGCTAATTAACAAAAATTCGACTGAGTAAAATTTAAAGATCTAATTGGCTTTCTTAAGTGATTCCTGAAGTGGGCAGCATCTCATCTTACCCGTGGAGGGGAGCTCTGAGGAGTGGGACCAGATGGAAGGTTTCTATAGAAGGAGGGTGGGAGCAGGAAGGTTATTAGCAAAAGAAAAGGATTGTTCCAGACCTGGCCTCTTTCTGGGGGGCGAAGCAAGGTGTCTTATCATGCAGACGACCCCATCTTTCTTTGAGGGGTGGGAGAGGAGCAAGAGGCCGACTCAGTGGCGCTGATTGAAAAATTCCTGACTGACCGGTTAAGACTACATTTCTGGGAGAGGTTGAAACTGCAATTAGATCAGGTATCAAGGCCTGGTTTGGGAACTTGGTCTGAGGGACGTCATTTGGGGCCCGTGATTTTTGTTTTGTTTTGTTCTAATTTTTTAATGTTATTTTTGTGTGTGTGAGAGAGAGAGAGCAGAAGAGGGGCAAAAGAGAGAGGGAGACAGAATCGGAAGCAGACTCCAAGCTCTGAGCTGTCAGCAGAGCCTGACGCGGGGCTCGAACTCACAAACCGTGAGATCAAGACCTAAGCCAAAGGCCGACGCTTAACCGACTGAGACACCCAGGCAAGCCTGCACCCCCCCCCCCCCCCCCCCGTGTTTTTTTTTTGGTTTTTTTTTTTTTTTTTTTTTTACAGCACTCACCTCTCCTGGCCCAGAGTCTCAGTCCTGGGCTGACAGGTTGCGCCCACCCCCTGTCAGGGACTGGGCTTTCTGGGCATCACTGGGTGCTCCCCATGCAGAATTGTCACTACAGGTTGGCCACACACTGGGGGCTGGGCATTTGAGGTCAGCGCTCAATATAGGGGCCATTTACAGAGCTATAGACAGGTTCAAGTGGCCATTTAGGTCAGGGCAGCACCAGGGGCTAACATCAGGAGAACTTTCAGTCCACAGGCCTACAGGGGCAAAGTGGGGAAGGGTTACCGGAACCTGGTGTGGGACCATCCCTTAGCCACGTACTGGTCCCCACACCTCCAGTTTCAGTTCCTGTAATCTGTCCACCAGAGGGATCTCTGAAGTCACTCACTCCTGTGGCCCTCTAGATAAGTCTCCGTTTCTGAGCACTATGGCCCTGAAAGAGAAGGAGGAGAGAGGAGTGGCTATGGGGTGGCACATATTGACTGCAGGCAGGAGGTTGGGGAAGGAGTAGGGGGGAGCAGCCCCACCCCTGCACTCTCCTCTCCCACCTGACCACCCACTTTGCCTTTTATTTGCCAAGCCTAGAAAGAAGCCCAGGAAAAGGGAGCCCCAGGACAGGGTAGGGTGGAGGGCGGGACTGGAGGGGAAAGTAGAAGACAGCCAGCTGCCACAGGCCCCTCCTATGGGTGGCACCGAGGACTGGGGGCACTGAGGCAGCCCGCCCCCAGGGGGAGTGATTTCAGGACTGGAACTCAGGGGAAAGAGGTCAGTGGGCTGAAGGGGATCTTGTCTTTCCTTTTTCAATTATCTGGCACCTACTATGTGCATGCATGGCCCTTGTGCTGGATACAGAAGACAGACACTAGCCCAGACTCATAGAGCCCCCAGAGTAGCAGAAGACACCCATATGACCCAGGGGGTTGTTTGTGTTGGGTTGGGGGCATCACAGAGGGGAGCCCTAACTCAGACTTGACATCTTGGGAGGCTTCCTGGAGGAGGTGGTATTTCAACTGGAATATAAATGTTGAGGGAGGGGTGGGAAATGTGTGTGGTGTCTACAGAGCCAGGAAGCACGAAGAGCCCCATTTATTGCTGGGACTGAAGTTGGAACTTTATCTTAAGAGCCATGGGTGCCTGGGTAGCTCAGTTGGTTAAGCATCCGACTCTTGATATTGACTCAGGTGGTGATCCCATGGTTGTGGGATCGAGCCCCAAGTTGGGCTCTGCGCTGACAATGCAGAGCTTGCTTGGTATTCTCTCTCTTCCTCTCTCTGCCCCTCCCCGCTCATGCTTTCTCTCTCTGTCTCTTTCTTTCTCAAAATTAATAAACTTAAAAAAAAGAATTTTGGGGAACCCTTGCAGGGTTTAGAGTCGGGAGGGCTACTGATTTGTTCTTTAGGAAGATCAAGACTGGAAGCATGGAGAGAGGTGGTGAGACCAGAGCTGAGTCAGAGGTGAGTAAAAGAATGTTCTGGAGGGGCGCCTGGGTGGCTTGGTCGGTTGAGCGTCCGACTTCGGGACTTTAGCTCAGGTCATGATCTCACGGCCCGTGAGTTCGAGCCCCGCGTCGGGCTCTGTGCTGACCGCTCAGAGCCTGCAGCCTGTTTCAGATTCTGTGTCTCCCTCTGTCTCTGCCCCTCCCCTGTTCATGCTCTGTCTCTCTCTGTCTCAAAAATAAATAAACGTTGAAAAAAAAATTTTTTTTAAATAATGTTCTGGAGATGAGAGTGGCAGAGTGGGGGGGAAGTTGAGCACCAGCCTGGGTGATCAGGTGGAACTGGGGATACAGGTGTGAGTTGTCTGTGGAGGTCCAGAAGGTCTTTGGAGGTGGTGTTCTGGGAGTCCTCAGGGCCTGGATGGCGGCGGATGGGCAGGAAATCTCAGAGTCCAATGCGCTGGGTGAGAGGTCAGGGCAGGGGCCACTGTGAGCACAGTGGGTAGGGGGCAAGAGAGGAGTTGTGGGAGGAAGGTGAGGAAGGTGACAGTCAGGTGGTCCAGGACACCAGCAGGCAGTGCAAGGCAGAATGCAGAGGGAGAGGGTGAGGTCATAGGGGAGGACACTGTGGTGCCACTGGCCTGGAACAGGGGGGGAGCAGGTGTGTGTGGGGGGGTGCCCTGCGATGAGGTGTAGACCACATGGGAAAGAGGCATAATTTGAGGTAGGGCCTGCCTCTAAGCACGGAAGGGCACCTGCTGGAATGAAAGGGGGGGGTGGGGGAGGCCTGAGGAGAAAGGCTGTCAGAGGGGTGGTTCTGAGAACAGCCCTAGCTTCCCTGCCCTTCTACCCCATACCTGTGCCTGGCATTTTTTTTTGCTGAGCTAGTCTAGCTGGTCTGGGTCCTCACATCATGTGTCTTGTCTGGAGGACCCTCAATCTTGTTGAGTACACTTTTTTTTTTTTTTTAAATGTAAACTCTACACCCAAGGTGGGGCTTGAACTCATGACCCTGAGATCAAGAGTGTCATTGGAGGACCCTCAATCTTTTTTCTTTTTAGTTTTTAAATTTTTAAATTTACATCCAAGTTAGTTAGCATATAGTGCAATAATGATTTCAGGAGTAGATTCCAGTGTTTCATCCCCTATGTATAACACCCAGTGCTCATCCCAACAAGTGTCTTCCTTAATGCCTCTTGCCCATTTAGCCCATCCCACCACCCACAATGCCTCCAGCAACCCTCAGTTTGTTCTCTATATTTGAGTCTCTTATGTTTTGTCCCTCTCCCTGTTTTTATATAATTTTTGCTTCCCTTCCCTTATGATAAATCTGTTTTGTATCTTAAATTCCACCCACATATGAATGAATTCATATGATATTTGTCTTTCTCTGACTAATTTTGCTTAGCATAATACCCTCCAGTTCCATCCACATTGTTGCAAATGGCAAGATTTCATTCTTTTTGATTGCCGAGTAATACTCCATTGTCTATATATACCACATCTTCTTTATCCATTCATCCATCGATGGACATCTGGGCTCTTTCCATACTTTGGCTATTGTTGATAGTGCTGCTATAAACATAAGGGTGCATGTGTCCCTTCGAAACAGCATACCTCTATTCCTTGGGTAAATACCTAGTAGTGTAATTTCTGGGTCGTAGGGTGGTTCTGTTTTTAGTTTTTTGAGGAACCTCCCTCCTGTTTTCCAGAGTGGCTGCACCAGTTTGCATTCCCACCAACAATGCAAAAGAGATCCTCTCTCTCTGCATCCTTGCCAACATCTGTCGTTGCCTGAGTTGTTAATGTTAGCCATTCTGACAGGTGTGAGGCGGTATCTCATTGTGGTTTTGATTTGTATTTCCCTGATGATGAGTGATGTAGAGCATTTTTTCATGTGTCAGCCATCTGGATGTCTTCTTTGGAGAAGTGTCTATTCATGTCTTCTGCCCATTTCTTCACTGGATTATTTGTTTTTTGGGTGTGGAGTTTGATAAGTTCTTTATGGATTTCGGATACTAACCCTTTATCTGATATGCCATTTGCAAATATCTTCTCCCATTCTGTTGGTTGCCTTTTAGTTTTGCTGATGGAGGACACTCAATCTTGTTGAGACCCTCATGTTTGGCACAGGGAGTTTGATTTCTGCTTTGGAGGGGCTGATTTCCCTGGGCAGCTGTGGAAGTTACCATTTCCCAGCTTCACAGGCTTGGTGTCCTCTGCCCCCATCATGGGCATATGCCTGTCAGATGCATGGCTGTGGTTTTCCAGCCACTGGGTGTTCCTGGCCTCCAGCCCCTCCTATCCATGCACAGCTCGGGGTGGGTCATGGAGCCGCCACCATCCTCCACCATGAAGGTTTCACGCATTTGTCTGTGACGTGTGGGAGGATGAGCAAGCACGGGGATCCCAATCCTGAAAATGTCAGGGAGGATGAGGCCAGGGGAAAGGCACCTAGAAGAAATTGGGGGGAGGTGTCAGAGCAGGAAAGCCAAAGACAAGTGACAGGAGGTAAGAAAGGACAACTCTTGGGAGTTTGCTGGGGATAAGGACTGGGTTATGAAGAGAGACAAGTCTGTGGGAGGTAGAGGCTGGACACCCAGGGAGTGGAACGGGGTGGGGGGTCAGAGGACAGCTGGACAGTGACGTGGAGGTGAGCACGTGGTGTCTGTTGTGCATGGGGAAGGGGGACCTGGGCTGTGTCCAGCTTCAGGCCGTGCTGCTGAGGGGCAGAGGCAGTGTGGCAGGACAGGGAGGGCTCCTCATTCTAACCAGGGATAGTCAGCTTCTGACCCGTGTGCTGAGCCCGGAGCCCTTCCCGGCCAGGT